TGTAAAAATTGATTTTAGAAGAATAAACGTAGAGATAGATTAGATAATGTTAAAACTATAGCTGCTATGAGATGTGTTTAAAATCATTTTCTAAACTAGCCTGGAGTATTTCTTCTATCTCATCTTTATATATTTCTCATTAATATCTATATGACAAAGTGACAGTTTAAATCTTGAAAATAAGTTGTAAATGTCGTAAAAACCAGTTTGGACTGTCACTGACGTTTACCTGTATACACCTAAATATCTAGTGTGATTAATAGCATGGTGGTAAGATGTGACAAGTGGAAAATTAATTTTTAATACAGGATTTTAATCTTCTGTACTTTCACAATTTTACATTTTAATTTTGTGACCTGAACAAATTATAACTTTGTGGCTCATGCACATTTAATATTATGAATTGTATATGATTAGTGAACAAAACATGCTAAATTAAGACATTGCCTTATAAAGCAATATTATTATTCTGCATTCACTTGTAAAAGTTGTATTAAAATACAACTCACTATCAGTTAACTTTGAATCTAAAGGATTATTGATAACTGAGTTGATTTCTATAATTAATCTTATTGAACAGTATTAAAATACAACTCACTATCAGTTAACTTTGAATCTAAAGGATTATTGATAACTGAGTTGATTTCTATAATCTATCTAACTGAACAGTATTAAAATACAACTCACTATCAGTTAACTTTGAATCTAAAGGATTATTGATAACTGAGTTGATTTCTATAATCAATCTTATTGAACAGTATTAAAATACAACTCACTATCGGTTAACTTTGAATTTGTAGGATTATTGATAACTGAGTTGATTTCTGAAATCAATCTTATTGAACATTATTTAAATACAACTCACTGTCAGTTAACTTAGAATTTGAAGGATTATTGATAACTGAGTTGATTTCTATAATCTATTAAACAGTATTAAAATACAACTCACTATAAGTTAACTTTGAATTTGAAGGATTATTGATAACTGAGTTGATTTCTATAATCTATCTAACTGAACAGTATTTAAATACAACTCACTATCGGTTAACTTTGAATTTGTAGGATTATTGATAACTGAGTTGATTTCTGAAATCAATCTTATTGAACATTATTTAAATACAACTCACTGTCAGTTAACTTAGAATTTGAAGGATTATTGATAACTGAGTTGATTTCTATAATCTATTAAACAGTATTAAAATACAACTCACTATAAGTTAACTTTGAATTTGAAGGATTATTGATAACTGAGTTGATTTCTATAATCTATCTATGAACAGTATTAAAATACAACTCACTATCAATTAACTTTGAATTTGAAGGATTATTGATAACTGAGTTGATTTCTATAATCAATCTTATTGAACAGTATTAAAATACAACTCACTATCGGTTAACTTTGAATTTGTAGGATTATTGATAACTGAGTTGATTTCTGAAATCAATCTTATTGAACATTATTTAAATACAACTCACTGTCAGTTAACTTAGAATTTGAAGGATTATTGATAACTGAGTTGATTTCTATAATCTATTAAACAGTATTAAAATACAACTCACTATAAGTTAACTTTGAATTTGAAGGATTATTGATAACTGAGTTGATTTCTATAATCTATCTAACTGAACAGTATTTAAATACAACTCACTATCGGTTAACTTTGAATTTGTAGGATTATTGATGACTGAGTTGATTTCTGAAATCAATCTTATTGAACATTATTTAAATACAACTCACTGTCAGTTAACTTAGAATTTGAAGGATTATTGATAACTGAGTTGATTTCTATAATCTATTAAACAGTATTAAAATACAACTCACTATAAGTTAACTTTGAATTTGAAGGATTATTGATAACTGAGTTGATTTCTATAATCTATCTAACTGAACAGTATTTAAATACAACTCACTATCAGTTAACTTTAAATTTGTAGGATTATTGATAACTGAGTTAATTTCTGAAATCAATCTTATTGAACAGTATTAAAATACCACTCACTATAAGTTAACTTTGAATTTGAAGGATTATTGATAACTGAGTTGATTTCTATAATCTATTAAACAGTATTTAAATACAACTCACTATCAGTTAACTTTAAATTTGTAGGATTATTGATAACTGAGTTGATTTCTATAATCTATTAAACAGTATTAAAATACAACTCACTATAAGTTAACTTTAAATTTGTAGGATTATTGATAACTGAGTTAATTTCTATATTCTATCTAATTGAATAGTATTTAAATACAACTCACCATCAGTTAACTTCTAAATAGAAGGATTACATATTCAATACTTTAAGTTATTTTATAGCAAATTATCTCAAATTCTCAAAGCTAACTATTCCTTTAAACACTTGTTGGGGCTGCTGTTGTTTAAACTTTAACGCTGCATACCAAGAATCAAGTTTCTTAAAAGTTTAAGAGATGATTTTAGTGAAATGAATTTTACAACTAATTGTTAATTTGGAAGGTGAAAACCTTTATGGGCATCTTTAAGCTCTGCATATTGGTTATTGTTAGTAGTAAAACATGAAATGTCTATAAACAAAAACAATGTAAAGAGACTGATGTTGATGGTCAAGTACAACATTCTTGTTTGATAGTTGTTTATTAGTATTATTGAGAGTTTGTGGTATTTACCTATTAACTAGTATATTTACAGTAGTCAGTATTTATTACAAGGTTTGGGTGGTTATATTTTAGTAGTATTGGTCTGTAATAACATGTTGGTGGTATGACAGGATTGTTATTATTTATGATGTTTGTTCACATTTATTGGTTTCTGACTCTTGGTTCATTTTACCACTTGACATATCTTCTAGTTTAACATGTTTCTAGTAAAATAATATCATGTTCAACAAAATTTTCACCTTTCAAACTATTGAAATGTAAAAGTCCTGTAGTAATGTAGTGGCAAGACAGCTTTGCACTCCAAGCATGACAGAGAGGATGAAAACATGTCTTAAGGAAAAAGGTGTTGGTCACTCTTTAAGCTTGGGTTTACCTTAAACCAGTTTATCAAATCCGATCTGAGAACTGTTCTAATTCTGGCCTAATCTTGAGCAGTGGTCCATTACATAAAATCTGTCTGTTTTCATAGAGGTAAAAAAAGTAATGGTGTGCATCTCTGATCTGATAAGTTTGCTTGAAATGTTTCTGCCATGGTCAATGTGCACAAGACACTTAAGTTTTGGCGTTGTCTGTACAACAATATTATTCATACAGTGATAAACATAAGGAGGTTATTATCATGATTTATACAATTAGCTTTTAATAGTGTTTATATATCAATTGTTTAGTATCTAGATACACAATTATTATTATCATTTAACCTTTTATTATTAGGTCAAGTGCCGACATCTAATCTCTAGCGGTTATTATGATATTTCCGTGACAGAATAAATTTCCTGTGATGAGACATGTAGAACAATAACTTGTCCAGAACTTACAGTATTCCAGGCAGTAGAAGACTGGAAATAGACTGAACAGATAGAATATGTCAATTCTTAAAGCACTTTCATGTTGAACATGTCATTTGCATCAGATTTACCCTTTAGTGTTGATAATGAAAAAAGTTTCATTAAAAAGGGCATTCATGCTGTCAGGTTATAGAACTAGACTTCTGATGACAAAATCACTTTTTAGAAAGAGAGTCTGGGACATTGTTCAACTACAATTCAATAAAAAGTTATTGTAATCAGTGAAGTCAAGATAGCTGAATCTGAACTTTTGTCATTTTGCAAAATTTCATGCCTAATGCACAACCACTTTTTAATTGAATATGTTTAATGTCATTTTTTTTTATGAGTTATTGGACAACTATTATTTTTTCTGCATCCAAATTCAAAAGCTGTAAAAACAACATATTAAAATAATTTTGTTTGTTTTGTATTAAGTCAATTTATTTTGAGAACCTCCAAATTAAAATATTGTCAAATTCAGTTAGAGTCAATAATTGGAAATGAATTGTGCCATAAACCTTTAATTTATCAGTCTAACAGAATTGACAAGAAAAATATAGAACAAGTTAAAAGCCATGACACACTTCATTATAAACAATTTAAAAATTCAAGCATTAAACATTAGTTTAATAAATTACAGATGGTTAGAACCTGCCATCAAGATTTCAATGAATATTTATTAAGATTAGGAAAATGATAATACAGTAGACAGAATGGCTAGTTCATCATGTTAAACAGTCTTGAAATGATGCCTGTAGTATTTACTGCCTACTCCCTGTGGCTTACACCAAGACCAGTGGGAATTAATAGTGCAGACATACTGTCTCTTCTTAACATCATATACTTAAGAAAATATTCCAAGGTTACTTCTGCTGCACTTGTAACCACATTATGATATAAATTCTTGGTTTATAGTATATTTGATTAGACTGTGGGAAATTTCCTGTACACCATATTATCTTGTAAATTATTATTAACATGTATAGAAATTCGGTCCCCAAATTTTTGAATACATATACTGTATTATAGCTGATTACATTATCACATCAACAATAGATTTTTTTACATTTTATTGTTTTGAAATGTTAACAATTGATTTACTTTATTCGCATTAATATTACATTAATAATTGATTTACACTCTATGAAATTATTACATCAACAATTGATTTATGATCTTAATTACATTACTGATTACTTTATTTCATTAACATACCTTTATCATTATTACATTTTATTTACATTCTGTTACATTATTGGTTACAGTATAACATTTGCAATTGATTTACATTATATTACATTATTATATCTACAATTAATTTTCATTCTATATATATATGTAACTATAAAAATTAAGTTTTTTAATTGATAAATTAAGATTTACATTTCATAATATTTAATCTTATCCATCCAAATACCTTAATGATGATAACAAAGTGTTATTATAAACAGTCTCGTAAGATCATGGATGTGAATTTCTGCACATTGAACAGATTGCCCTCTGGTCTTTACATTATTGAAATTCATTTCTTGCAGGAAGTTTGTAAGCAATTGTTTTGAGCCATTCTCAGCTGAAATCAGTAATCAAGGTGTTTATAAGAAGTTATGTCAGGAAACTCTACAATATAGTACAGATCTTAGAACTAAAGTAGATGAGTAAGTAACATCTAGTTTATAGTAAAATTAGTCTAGTTTGTCAATTTAGTTGGTTCATTTCTTAAAAAGAGATTTTGGAACCAATGTAGTGAAAGCCATGGTAGTTTGAAATGCATTAAAGTGTGCAAATATAGAACTTCTGTTTTCAAAATTTGTCAAACCCAGATGATGAACTATTTTGAAATGCCAATACTACGAAATTGTTTTTTATACACCAATAGATATTGAAATATTCAAATTCTAAGTCTTAATTCTGTACAATGAAGCCAATTGTTGGTTTAATTAGAGTATGATGATAATGAATAGAGAGAATATTATCTATTATTTTTATAGGAGAGAAAGAAAGTTACGAACAGGATTATATCCTGATTTTCAGAGAAGAATTAAATTACCAGAGGGAGATTTAAAGGTTTTTTATTTCTTTTGTTGGATAACATTTACCGTATATTTGTGTGTATAATGCACAATGTTTTTACCTTAAAAATAAATCCAGTCAATACTAAAGGGGCCCAGATTGTGTAGCCTAAATACACCACAAATTTATATTCATTTGAAAGCTTGAAAAAGCCAAATCCAAATATATAAGTGCTAGTAAAATATAACTGTTTTGCCAAATTATGACCAACTTAAAAAATCCTAAGATAATGGTGTTAAAAATGCCAAACTAGTTCTGTGTATGATTCTTTATGCCCCAGACCTAGTGATAACAGTTTATTTGTCAGCATATGAGATTGCAGATAGTTCTTCTTTAACAATTTAGTCTATTAACAATATGTATGATATATATTTTATAGTTAACAGTATTATATACAGCTAAATTATTAGAGAGTTTTTATCCTGAACATGTTATTAAACGTTTATTAACTACAGAAGAAGAATATTGGGAATCTCAACATTTAGAATTTCGTGACTGGAAAGGTAAACTTTTACTGTGTCTCCTTGCTCTTGAAACATGGGTTTATGTAGACATACTTTGTTTAAATTACATAGCAAAGTTTTTGCTCTGGTATGCAAATTGTTGAAAATAAGGAGGTTGAACTCTTATGAAAAAATTTAAAAAATGTGGGATCAATAACAAAAGTCTTAAGTGCAGGTCTGGATTGTACAATCATATCCATTCCATGGCAAAACACAACAATTTGTGATCAAAATGGATTCAAATTGTGATCAAAATGGATTCAGATTGTGATCAAAATGGATTCAAATTGTGATCAAAATGGATTCAAATTGTGATCAAAATGGATTCAGATTGTGATCAAAAGGATTAAAATTGTGATAAAAATGGATTAAAATTGTGATCAAAATGGATTCAAATTGTGATCAAAATGGGGAACCCAATTAGTGGTCACAACCCACTGTTGATGTTTTATAATATTTTTTAGTTTTTTTATTGCATTGCTCCATCTTCTAATTTTCAGGTCTGGCTTGTAAAAAATTAAGTGATATATTTACTAGATATTTTTTGATGCCATTAGAAGAAACTGATAATAGTTTTGAACTGAAGGTAAGGTTTCTATTTTTACCATATTCACATTGCAGACATGAATTTAAATACATCTACAACCTTCTAGTGTCTTGAGATGTTAAAATGAATCTGCCATCAAATCCTTCAGGCGGCAGACTGATATTCCTGTCACTAATTTTAGTTGGTTGAGAGCCGATCAATTCTCAAGTCAAAGGTTCATGCATTTCAGATGCCATTTATCATGTGTGTCATTTGCTATACATGGAAAGGCGCAAACATATACATACTTATAACATGTATCTCTTATATAATCCAAATCAATTTAATTGTACAGAAACAAGTTTATAATCATAATAAACAATTTTGGGGAATTTTAAATTCTGTGTATTTGTAATTGTATAGGCGACAAAGATTCTTTTTGCAACCAGGTTACACTGGGTCTTATTCAAAACATGATCAGTCCACTTTATTTTGGTGTAAATAAGTAGAAACTCAAACCAAACAAGTCAGATTTCTTCTGTCTATTACTACTTACACTACCTAGAAATAAAGTGAACTGGTCGTGTTAATCTTTTGAATTAAAAGATAAATTTGCCTGACTATATATTTGAAAATTCAAAGTGCTCATTTAAAATTTCCCAAAATATATGTTTGCTCAACTATATTTGAGAATTTGATATAATGATAAAAGTGTTATTCTAAAATAACTATATTTTTTTTTGTTAATTTTGTAGGTAGAACATTTAAATTTATCACGATATGTTGATATGTTAGCTAAATCTGAATATCACGATGATTTATATGTTGTATCACATCAACAATCACCACCAGGTACATCATATTTTACTCATGATTTATCTTTATTTTAACACTTCTTGTCATGTTCCTGAAATGTTTAATGTAAAGAGAAGAATTTACAAGTAGGTGTAGTATACAGGGATGTTGTTTCCTGGATTTTTGTTGTTACAGGTTAGAACTCACATGTCATAAAAAATGTCTGACTGACAAGAACATTATCTGGTAAAAAGAAAACAAAACAAATCAAAAGCCCTTCTCTACAAGATATGAAATTTTCAAAAAATATTTTTCAGCTATTTTTGAGAATTGAGGACACCTGTTGCCATTCTGCACCTGAGTTTTGAAGGTCAACACAGCTGACTAGTGATATCACTGCTTGAGGATAAGATGCCTTGAGATCTTGATGATTAACTTGCCGAATTAGAACACATGTTGAAAATACAGTTGCCATGTGACCTTTGGTTGTGTTTTTGATTCTGAAAACTGGATAATCTTTTTGTCTGGTTTTATGTACAATGCCTGATTTAGATGTTTAATTTGATGTTTGTTTTCCTTTACAGCAAGTATAAATGTAAAGGCACCATATTTAGACTGTGGTTATTTTAATCCAACCCAAAGATTAATACATACAACTAGATTTGGTTCTCCTAGGTATAAATAACTTATATATTTTTCACTATTTTGAGCAAAACTAAAGTGATTATAGCTGAGAAAAGAGCTGAAACCTTTCAACCCTTGCAGCCACATAATAACCCAATATATACCCAAGCGAGCAGAAAACTTGCCGTTAAGATGTGACGTCACACGTTAATGGTATATGCTTCAAGTTATATTACTTAGAGTTCAGAATATATGACATTTCATTTACACTCAGTGTTTCAAGGGTGAAAGATTCAATCGGATAGCTAAATACCTAGTTTGTTGCATGTTTCATGCTAGGTTTGAAGTCCCCTCTTCAATTGTAGAGTCATTGTTTTCAAGAGTCCATCTCTTGTCATCTCTGATGCCTTAAACTTAAGTTATTGTTGTTATTTGGCAAATTGAAAGACATTGTTCTCTTTTGAATTTGTTATCTCAAAATGGTGCTAAATGAATTCAATCATCTTATCCATATCAACTAGTTTTACCATAAGCACACAGTTTTTCAGTAGACACATAATATTTCCATCTTTTATAACATGTTAAATATATAATTACAGAGAAAAGAGATTACCATGGAAGAGAAGATATGAAGGAAATGTATTTGATAAATTAGAAATTCCATTACCTATTCCCCATCCTGTAAATATAGCTATAGCAATTTATAATAGGTCTGTATTTTTATTTCATTAGCATATTTTATGCATGCTTTTATTGAGCTCATGGCAAGGTTTGTTCCTTACTGAGGCTGAAATGATAACTTTTTCTTGGTTTCACTAATTAGATGCAGTGGGCCAATTTTGAAAATGGTTCTCAAATGGAAAACAACCAAGATCTGGTCTTGGGTTGCTACAGGCTGTAAATCCTTGATGTTTTGTAAATCAACCGAGAAGGAACCCAGGCAACGTTTTCGAACTGCATAGCAATGTCTGTCTTCATTAGCCCAAACAGGATCAGAAAAATTGGATGTAAAGCTCCATTCTTCTATTTTTATTATAGAGAAAATGATCAAGATGAAATAGATATAGATGATCTCTATACAGCTAGAATATTACGTGCTACAAAAGATGTCCCTTATATAGACCTAGCTGAACATTCTAGTTTCGATTATAATGAAATAGAACCAACTAGTACCCCAGATAATGCTACCACTGAATCAGTGACAGTGGTCTCCCATTTAGCTCAACAAGAACGCTCATTCTCTGAGGAGTTGATATCTCAAGATAGACCTGTTACTTGTACGCCTGTATCTGAGGGCAGTGTTGTAACGCCTAGCTCTGTAGAAATTGATGCCGAGCTTGATGCAGAGCTAGGTGATGATGTCATATACCAAGAAGAAGAACAAAATAACAGTTGTATGATATATATTGATGATGATGATGATGATAGACTTAATACACCAGAATCTGATGAAATGCTTTAAATCCCCTCTCTAGGTGCTCATTATTTGTATGCATTCTTGTCTTAGATATTTATTGCTGCCTTGTATTGTATGTTTAACTGTTATAAAACAGTATTCTGAAATCCTATATCACCGCAAGATATGCCATGCTGTTTTGTAACATTGTCACTAGTAAACCATAATTCATCAAAAATATTTCCATAAGTAGTGCCAATTTCCTTAAGCAGTCTTATATCTTTCTGAAGTAAAACAAATATTCATCCAAATCATACAAGCATAATATTGGTATTTGTAAGTCCTTTGTTAGCTATAAATGGGTAAGGATAGTCACAATGCCCTTGCCTACAGGCTTGATTGATGATCAGTTAATTTAGTTACTTAGTCACCAAGATAAATGTAGAATATATTATATCACTGTATTATACTCAATGGTTGTGAAACTTGTATATGCTATAGTCAAATATATATTATATTTTATTCTATATATTACTCCATTGCACACTGCAGTTAAGATGTCAACTTGTCTCAAACATACAAGTGAGCCATTACTGTTAGTATTATTTTGCCAGATATTTTAATGTATGATATAAGTTAACAGTATTGATTATGACAGATATTACGTAGGTGGAATTGAAAGAGATTCATAAGCACATTTAAAACTATTAGCTACATTCAGATTTCCCATTCAAATTGAATAATACTGATAGTCATGCCATAAAATGGTTACGTTTTTCTAGAAAAACAGGAATCTTAGTCATTGAAAGGAAAATTTGAATGATGCAAATCAGTAACCTCTTTCGAAACTCTTTAATGTAGAAAAGAGTCGGTTTTGATCAAATATATTGCACTATGCAAATTATTGAGAGGTTTCCATAGAAACAGTATTGAATATCATTAGCTATTCTAGTCGCATAATTTATTTTACCTAAGATTGTTTTCTTTTGTTTTGAGAGCCACATTAAAGCGGGTATCTCAAATGTGCAATTTTGGGTTCACCACTTGTTGATATTTGTTTTCAGTTGTTTATATTCTTGTATATTTATTGTTTTCTAGAATGTTGATATTTTTAAACCTATTATGTTCATCTGAGATTTAAAAACAGATCTAGATATTTTCTTTTAGTATTTGTGTTAGGGATGATTCTACTTGCTATCCATGCTCTGATGAATTTCTTGTTCACCAGGTGTTCTAGGTCACTTAAAAATACCACCTGTGTTCAACTAAAGTTTAATCATTTGAAATTGACTGAACATGATTGAAGGAAGAATTTCCTCGGATTATGGATGGGAAGTGTAATAACCTGCAGTGAAAATAGAAAGAAAAAAACTAGATGTGCATTTTGATTAGATTTATCTTGTTTAATGTCATATTTTCTAAATTGAAACTTTTTCTGTCTCATAACATTTGCTTAATGTAGAGGCAAAATGGAAGAGATAAATTTCACTAATGAAAACCTTGAAATTGATCATGCTTTATTCCTTGACTTGGTGTCTACTACTTAATGAGCATAGATTGTTAAACGTTACAGAGGGAGGTTTGGAATCCGCTTGACCAAATGTACCTTAGTCTCAGAAACAGGAATTTTTTAACCTTCAAATCCATGTGTGTCCAGAATTATCTGCGTTTGAATATTAAAATGACGACTAATCTTTTCTTGAGACTGCCATTATCGAGAAATATATAGAAATAGAAAGTGAAATTACTTGTTTGAGGTATTTTCGAAGGAATTATGCGATTTTCGTACATTTCTAGTACTTCTGAAGACTATTTACATATATTCAAGACCCAAATCAATCCCCGAAAATGGCAAGACTCTTCCTCTAAAATTTTAGAAAATTTAATTCATATTGTTCAAAATGCCTGGGATGTACCGAATATTGTTAATATATGTTAATTTTGGCATCAGTTTTTGTCTATTTTGTTTATATTTTTCCAACATCCAACATACCATCTGATGTTTTCTATAGTAAGAATGTATTTGAGTTAATTAAGATCAATGTGCCCTCACACCATAGCGATTACCAGTTGCATAATTATGGATGTGAATATGACAGTGGCCATGAGTTCAGAACGCAACTCGCAATTCAGTTACATGATAATTGCTTTTGAAACTTATTACCACTGTTCTTTTTTGCAACCATACACAAATGGTGATGACTATGGTCTGAGCCCACATGAACTGTTTGCTTACTATATTTATGACATATCTTCACTTGTTAATAATGTATTGAATAAGATACAACCCTGTTTGTCATATTTGCTGTGTATTATTTATTTAATGGTATTTTTATTGTATAATGCATGATTCAATCTGTCAATATCAGCTTCTGCAATAAATATCAGTTTTTTTAATGAATTTTTTTTTATTTTGAATTAATCTTTAGTACTAATGGGTTGATAAAAATGTCATCCCATAACAAAAATATAATTTGGAAATACGAATGTATTTCAGTTCTGAAATGGGGGGTCTGTTCAACAGGAAATTTTCAGAAGGGAAGTGTATTCTAAGGAAAATAGCATATAATTGAAACGTTAAGGTCACAAAAAACTTTTATAAATCTATATGCGGATATGATTTTAAATTTGAATTTGATATTAAATTATTTACTGGTCAAAGGGAGACAACTCCATACTTATTCCATATCCAAATTTTGCATGGAACCGAATCCTCTATACCGGAAGTTTACAAAATGACGTACTTTCAGAGTAAGACGAAGTTTTGCAGACAATAACAATATGTCCTGAAACAAAAGGATAATGTAGAATGATAAACACTACAGTGTTACTTAGCAATGATTTTGTGTATTCTGAAAAATATAACTTAGTCCCTATATATTCAAAATGAGAGAAAGGAGAGATGTACCATCCTCATCTCCCACTTCAACATCAACAAACACTTGTTCTGAGCAGACTACTGGACCGTCTGCCTGTAGTACCAGTTCAAGTGGTAATGTTGGACTTGGAGCAACAGGCCTAGCCAACAGTCCATCCACAGCAATGAGTACAGAATCAGAATTTAGTTATCAATTATGTATGGCTAGACCTGTAAGAGCAGAAACATTCTGTGATTGTGTAAAATTTGGTAAAGAGAAAAGCTGTAAATGTGGAGAAGATGACCAATGTAAGTATAGTCATGAATGTATAAGAGGTAAAAGAAAACAAGAATTTAGTTCCTTGAGGAGTTTAAGTTCGTCCTTCAGACCCTGTAACATTAGAATTATTTAAGATTCTTTGGAACCTGTCAGTGTCACTAGGCTAGATTGTATGGCTTTGGTATGACATTAATTTTTAGTAAAAAAAAAGGTTTATTAACCTGACATGGTTAAAATTTCTTTATTAAGCATACTGATTGAATTTTTTTTGTAGATTTTGACTGGGTATGTGAACTCTTTTTGTAGATTTTGATTGGGTATGGGATGAGAAGAGTAAGTCACCTGCAAGTCAACTGATTGATAATGGTAAAGAAGTGGTATTTCATTTAGATTATAGTTGTGGTACTGCTGCTGTCAGAGGAACTAAACAGATGGTCAAAGACCAGTATTTTTGGGAAGTGAAAATGTCTAGTCCAGTTTATGGCACTGATATGGTAAGGGCTATGTTATTAACTGCTCAAATATGAATCTTTTATGTGAATGTACATCAACCAGAGATGTTGTGTTGTGAAATAAAAAAAGGAAATCAAGTTAATAATAAACCAAGTACTAAAGATCTGAACCGCAAAACGAAATCTCAAAATCCAAAAATATTGGTAGCAGCTAATGACTTTTTCACATGAGGAAGTCTATCAATCATAACAAAAAGGGGTATATAATAAGATGTCTAAAAGAGTAAGCATACTCTGTCTGGTGCCACACCCATTATAGCTGCTCAACATAAACAACAAACTATAGAAGTAAATAGAAATAGAAGTAAAATAGGGACTTGACCAATGAATTTGAAAAGAAATGAGCTTTTATAATAGAAGATAACATAGTTTTTGTATCAAAAAAATAACAGATGATTTCATTTCATTTTAAATTAAGGAATATTTAAAAAAAATTTTTCAGATGATAGGTGTTGGAACAGAATTTATAGATTTAAATAAATATCAACACAAGTTCTGTAGTTTAATAGGTCAAGATGCTGAAAGCTGGGGATTATCCTACACTGGTTCAACACAACATCGCAATAACAAAACAAGATATTCTAGTAAATTTGGACAAGGGTCAATAATTGGAGCACATCTTGATATGTGGAGAGGAACATTGGCTTTTTATAAAAACAGGAAACCTTTAGGTATGATTTTGTTTTTATTGCTACTCTGGCATTAGTTTTGTGGGGGAACACTTGGACAACTCTCCAAGACAATGTGCATTTGAATATTTATTGTTGTCAATATAGCCATTGTTGTCATTTAATGTCTTGCAAATGGCTACCATGTGACTTATCTTATAACAAAATTTTTTGGATATTATAATATGTTAAATTTGCAAACTTGTTGGATTTTGCCCTTGAGCTCTATAACTTATATTTATAAAACAATGGCTTTTCTATCAGGAATCGATTTAATAAGTAATTAATGTCTTCAAAACTTTAATCTCTATTGTGTTGACAGGTATTGCCTATACTGGTTTACAAGGAAAAGTTTTATATCCAATGGTCTCTTCAACAGCTGCTAGAAGTGGAATGAAAGTTATAACCAGTCGATCATTTAAAACATCTCTACAGTTTATGTGTTGTCAGACTTTACGTAGGATCATTCCCCATCATTTAAGTGTGTTAGACACTGTGAGCTTACCGCCAGGACTTCGTGAATTTTTATATAACAATATTAGTTGGCTATTAGAGCCTTGTGCTGAAAACACGTCTGAGTCTCTGAATCTCAGTGGTGAAAAGAGAAAACTAGAAGATGATGAAAAGGTAGAGACAAGTTTCAAAAAAAGAAAAACTTGACACTTTTATCACAAAATATTCATAATTACTAACCGAAAATGTCATTTTAAATGATTTCTGTATCTTTAATGAAATATATTAAACGTTTGATATTACCATTGTTAATGGCTAAATGCAGGATGGTATGGAAAATATTCTATGTGCTAGTCACCTGTTGAAATGACATCTCAATGTGATGTCACGAAAGGGAAACTCCTTCAGTATGAAAAACCAACAAAAAATTACAGTTTGTTTTTAAAGACAAGGTTGTTGAAATACAGTTTTAGAATATAGTGCCATTGTGAATATGACAAAATATATTTTGAGGAAAAGTTATGTTTGTGCTCCAAACACTCTGTTACTCCAAACACTGTGTTCAAACAAGCCTAAGCTTAATGAATTAGAGTCAATGATTTTAATGCTTTTAATGTTATATTTAAATATGTTATGTGTATTATGTTCAAGCATTATAAAGACAATGTATTAGATATTTTAAATTATTTTTTCAATGGAATAAATTTAAATGCTTATGACACTTATTGTAATAATTATTTCCTTAACCCTTTCAACACTAGAAGATGCTATACCAGCCATATAACTATGTGATGTTATACCCAATTGGCTGGTGAATAGTAATCAGAAGAATTATGCCTAGGTTCCTTTAGCAACAGTATGATATTGTCCACATACAATTGATAATAAACTACCGTTGGTAATGGAACATGCTGTTTAAAAGGATTTCCAAGATCACTCTTTAAGCTTTGTTCAAGACAAATTGATAAAGAAATTGATTACTGATGAATTTATCCACTTAATGACAAATATGGTTTAAAGCAATCTGAATTATATACAGTGGTGTAACCTATTTTCGTGGATATAAGGATTCAACACCGAATTTCGTCAAAGTTAAAAGAAAGGAAAAAAAAAATTATGTCTTAGAGGTTTCCTCAGATATTCTACCAAATAATTAAAATTGGTTTATTTCGATTTTCTTTATGAATCTTTCACTTTGACCCATATTTCATGAGCAACCAACTCGGAAACGGTGGCAGAATGCCTCACCTATTTTCGTGTACAATGCTTGATCTAGAAATAAGTCAAGAAAAACACGTTGTATGGATACCGGGTGGTATAATTATCTTCTCCTAGTATTTATCTTTAATATCAATTCATTATAACTAGTGACAATTCCTTCAAAGAACCACGATTTAAAAAAAAAATAGCGACTGACAAAATAAGATACGTAGCGTGATTTATTGCTAAAAGTCACTGAAACAACATAAGAATATGGCCCACTTTGGTTTCATAGAAATTTTCTGCTGACACGGAATCGGCTAGTTGATCACGTGACTTCATTCGTTGGACTACATTCTAGCAGACGACACTTGGAATTGTGGAATTCCGATTACCGCTCGGGATTATAAGGAAATTCGGCCGATAAAAAATTGTGACGTTTGGTAATAAGTGAAATCCGCCATTTTGTATTTATCAAAGTATACATTAATACATTTTACCTTGCTTGAAACTACTGGATTCATTCTTCTACCTGATATTGTAGAGAAAACCCATGTTTATTAAAACAAACTAATGCGGAGGTCGCGCAAGGTCGCTCATGTAAATTAACAATCCTTCCCGGAAATCCACGAATAATAGGTTTCCACGAAATTAGGTTACTTGACTGTAGTAGTTAATTTCCGATCACATTTAAAGTCTAAATGATTGTTAAAAAAACTGGAACGCATGTGTTGAAATTACATAGAGCCTATAGCCTACTAGTTTCCTGGCTATTTATATCTTTTCATGGTTGAACAATGAATGTGGATTGAGTCTAACTCAGAGATAGAGAAAGAAAGGCTCTCTGACAGAACGATCAAGCGGACAAAGGAAGAAAGGACAAATGCATCGGTCAGTTGGGACAGTAGACTAACATAAGGTGAAATTTAACAGGTGGGTAGAACAAGAAAGTTGAAAAGTTTGTATTTTCAAAACTGAAGACTTCACTCACTGCAAAGTAAGTCAGTTCAGTTGCATATTGAACAGTGGGTGGGCCTAGATTGGTAATATCATAGACATCTTAATTCAGATAAACCTACTTGTTGGACGATAATGACTCTGTCTATGAACAGTTGGCAGGCCTACTGCATCTATTAACAGTTAGTAGGCCTGCTATGTCTGTGAAAAGTTGATATAAAACAATGCCAGACAAAGGTACAGTGGTGTAACCTATTTTCGTGGATATAAGGATTCAACATCGAATTTCGTTAAAGTTAAAAAAATGAAAACAAATTTTTATGTCTTAGATGTTTCCTCAGATATTCTACAAAATAATTAAAATTGGTTTATTTCGATTTTCTTAATGAATCCTTCACTTTGATCCATTTCCATGAGCTAACAACTCGGCAACGGCGGCAGAATGTGTCACCTATTTTCGTGTACAATGTTTGATCTATAAATAAGTCTAGAAAAACATGTTGTATGGATACCCAGTGGTATAATTAACTTTTCTTAGTATTTATCTTTAATATCAATTCATTATAACTAGTGACAATTCCCTCAAAGAACCACGATTAAAAAAAAAAATAGTGACTGACAAAATAAGATACGTAGCATGATTTATTGCTAAAGTCACTGAAACAACATAAGAATATGGCCCACTTTGTGTTCCATAGAAATTTTCTGCTGACACGGAATCCGCTAGTTGATCACGTGACTTCATTCGTTGGACTACATTCTAGCAGACGACACTTGGAATTCCGATTACCGCACGGGATTATAATGAAATTTGGCCGATAAAAAATGGTGACGTTTGGTAATAAGTGAAATCCGCCATTTTGTATTTGTCAAAGTATACATTAATACATTTTACCTTGCTTGAAATTACTGGATTCATTCATTCTATAATGTACAGAAAACCCATGTTTATTAAAACAACTAATACGGAGATCACGCAAGGTCGCTCACGTAAATTATTAATCATTTCTGAAAATCCACGAATAATAGGTTTCCACGAAATTAGGTTACTTGACTGTATATGATAAAGCTTAATTTCAGAATATTAAGCCTAGGCCTACTTTCTTTGTTAGACAGAAGCTTATAGAAGTAGGGAGGTTACATTAAAATACTAAGATATATGGATATACTATTCCTGAATTTCTTACACACTGCGTTTCAAAACACATACAGGTAATGTTATCAAGTAAAAATTAATCATTAACACAAAAAAACATATTTTAAACATAAGCCTATATATGAGAAATCGTGGAAGCCATAGGCTACAAGAGATTGAAAACTTCAAAGAAAAAAATATCGAACATAGATAATATTTAGGCATAATAAACTCAGTTTTTCATGTTCAAATTAAAACAGAATCCCTTAAAGTGATACTACGTCTTAGAATGAACATAAAATTTAAGTTCTCGAAAAGGTCAATATTAGTCTTTATTTATCAGTTAGCTTACCTGGTGTCATAAAGTTACAACAGAATCCCTGTAAAATCTAGAAAATTTGAAAATTCATAAAAATAAGTAATTATTGAAAAACGCTTAATCTTGATATGAAGCGTTTTCCAATAGTTAATGGCATATTTATGGATAATCACTAAGTTTTTTTTTTTGATTTATCGAATTATATAAGGATCCTGTTATGTTATTTATGACACAAGGTATATCTACTGGCTCTTATTCGCCAATTTTAAAATTCTTAAATTTCATGTTAATTCTATGACGTAGCATCACTTTAAAGAGTTTTGGTCTTAGTAGGCCTACATATACTAGCTTATACTACTGCTCTGTTCATGCTTTATAATTTACTACAAGGAGGCCACTATTATTAGTATTAGGACCAGAGCCTTTTAAAAATTTAAAAATCATGGGCATAAATACAATATTCACATCCTGAAATACATATAAAGATATTTGTGTTACTAGACAGTCATTCTGAGGTCAAACTGAAGTTTTTATATAACAGAATAAAACTACTATATCTGGTTTTATTTTTTTCTTGATTTAGTACAGGTATGGGAAACTTTAAAAGCTTATTTTTTAGTAAAGATTAATGAGATTTCAATTTGGAATTATGAAAATGAGCATAACCTATGTAGCATTTTTTGAATGAATCCCCTGCCAACCAGCAGAGACGAGACAAAGCCTTAGATGTAAGTCTAGGTGTAGTGGCTGCAGGTACAAATTAATGAAAACTGATCTTCAAAGTATAAAAGTCTTACTACTGTAAATTGTCAACATAATGAAACTAGTAATTTCTTGATTCTTTTCCAATAACTACTGTAACAATCACAAATGGAACTTCTACCTTCAATTTCTTCTTTATTTGGATGGCTTGTTGTTTATGATGCTTGTCTGTCTGATATATTCTGGTATTGATACACGATGGCATGTTGTATTGCATTGTATTAATTCGCCTTGGCTATGCCAGCACTATGGCTCATGCCTCTATAGAAAACATACCAGACATTTTTTCTCAAAGCAATCATTGAAAATACAAAGATAAATTTTAAGAAATAGGCTTACGAAGACACACCTTATAAAATAAATGTTGTTATCAGTTAGAATTCAATTTCTTTTATCTTTTCCTTGATATATTGTAAGTAATGTAACCAAATATTAGCCATTCAATATATATGTCACAACGTTAGTTTATAGATAAACTGTTAATACCATCAGAAACATTTAGCAAGATGTCTGAATAGTTAAACACATTAAGCATTCTAGACCTTTGTTTCAAATGCCCAGTGAGTTAAGTCTTTTGTTATTGGCAGCTATGTTGTCACATGTATTTTATATAATATTTTATTATCAGCATGATAAATCAATTATCATATCTTACTGTGATAACAGTTAAAAACTTTCATAAGTCAATAACTGTTGATAGGAAGGAAGAAGGATAGGTATGAACATTGAACTGTAAATATTTCACACTATTAGTATCAAGTTAGAAATATCTCTCTTTATTGTTTAAGTTGTAAAAAATGATATTTGCTTCATAAATGAATGATAATATTTAATTCTTGTGGTATCTTTTGAGGAAACCTTTTTAAAAGTCTCTTACTTATAATTATGAATTTTAACTACCTAATCTGTGAATTTAAAAATGTCCAGAAATATTTTTTGAAAAATTGATGATTTAGGTAAAAAGGTCTCGTATCTGACAGAAGTATCAGAAATTGTTTGCTTTGATGTGCTGAGGAGATGAAAAGTGGGCTGGATTCTAAAAGCTTTAAATTGAAGTATTGACATTTTACATGGATCTCTAAACATTCAAAGAGGTCGATGCACATAGCTGAGGATATATAATTATTTGGTATTATTTATACCCTGTAAATTAGCCAAAAATTGTCTCATATATATATCATATATTGTTTCATTTTATCTTTTTCAGGCCATAGCCATGGCAGCTTCTAAAGGCAGACAATTTATACTTCTGCTATGGAAGAACTTTTTGATTCAAAAGAGAAAGAAATTTGTGACTTGTTTGGAAATTCTTTTACCTGTGTTTTTCGCCATACTTTTGATTGTTATTCGTCAAATTACATCAGCTACATATCATAATGAAATAACAACATGGAACCATTGTGATGTTGATCATTTACCAAGATCTTTACCTAAAAAATTCACCTATACTCCTCAAAATGATGTCACAGATAAAATTATGTCTGATGTTCAACACAAATTAGGTTTTACTAAAGGTAGGTTTTTCATAAGCTAAATTTTTTAAAGCTATTTGCACTTCATTTCTGCAAATATGCAAGGTTTTGAAGGTACTATCTCTACATGTATATCAAGATCAGATATCTAAACTACGTGAGATTAAGCCCCACCTTCCTTGGGCTACTCCAGTTCCGTCCTGTGTCATAGAGAATGTCTAGAATTATACTTTTTGAGACTTTCTTATTATGCTTTGTACTAATACAACTTTTAATATTCTTATATATTTCTCATTTCAGTCATTGGTTTCAAAAATGAAAACAATATGGTGGATTTCCTACTTATGTCTAACAATACTGAAAGTTTTCTTGGTGGAGTAACTTTTGAAGATTCATTTCAAAATAATGGTCAAGATTTTAAGAACAATATTAGGTTTAAGATTAGGTTAAGTTCTGAACCTAGAAATGAAGGAGATAAGAAAAAAGTCAATCCATTTTCACAGACGGATAATAGATGGCCAACAAAATTTAATTTTCCATTGTTCCAGAGAGTTGGACCAAGAGAACAAGATGAACATTGTGGTGGTAAACCAGGTAACTGATGATATTTTAATAATTACTTGAAGTTGTTGATTTTGAGTGAAATTGAAATGAAAATCAAAATTGAGTGACAGTTTTTACTCATTTGGTTGAGGGTAAGAAGTGATGAGCGTTATATTAACAATTATACTGTATATGATATATGTCAATTGTTTTTCAGGTTATGAACGAGAAGGTTTTCTAGCCATTCAACAAGCAGTTAGTATAGCTATCATACAAGATCTAGGTACCAATGATAGTGTATCTGATTTAAATGAGACCTATTTCTCACTGCGACGTCATCCTTATCCACCTTATAATGATGATAATTTTGTATTGGTCATACAACAACAGTTTCCACTGGTATTGATGTTAAGTTTTGTTGTAATTGCTCTCAGTATAGTTAAAGATGTTGTTTATGAAAAAGAAAGAAAACTCAAGGTTTGTTGTCTTAATTTTTTGAATTTTCTAAAATAATCTAGTTGTAGATTAATTTTCAAATGATTAATATCAAGGTATTACACAGGGTTTGTATTACACGTACCTTGAATTTGTGAAGATGATAATTAAAATGATAGTTCTTGCTCTTTTACAAGACTATTGATATTTATGAAACTTTTATGCAATCAGTGCCTGAAATCCACAAGGCTCTCTTGTCAATGTTTCACTAAAAATTTGGACAATAAATATTTTACCAACTACAAACTTTTTTGTACAATACATGTTATTGTTGTATCTTTATAGTGATTGTTGTATCTTTATAGTAATTATAATGATTATTTCTTAATAGTAATTAATTGTTATATCTTCATATTATTTGTTGTATCTTTAGGCTATATCTTTGTAGTTATTGTTATATTTTTATATCAGTTGTTGTATTTTTATAGTAATTGTTGTATTTTTATAGTAATTGTTGTATTTTCCAGGAATCAATGAAGATGATGGGTTTAAGTGGATGGTTACATTGGTTAGCCTGGTTTGTCAAGTATTTGATATTTGCTTTGATAACAGTAGGTTTGATGACTCTGTTCTTCTGTTTAAAGTTGAATTTAGATATTGGTAAAGGATCTGGTAGTGTTGTTGGTAATACAGAACCCACTGTATTGTTTATATTTTTATTGGTCTACTCTATCTCCAGTATATCATTCTGTTTCTTAATCAGTGTTTTCTTCTCGAAAGGTGAGTTATTGGTTTTTTCTTTAAAATGTAACCTATTAATTAAAGATGTTTTCTTATTGAAACTCCAAAAATAAATGATATTTGGAGGAAAAAAAGTGATTTAGTTTAAAGAGAAAAAAAGGAAAAAAAAAGTTGTTATGTGTTAACAACGTAACTAAATAACAGTATTCTGATTGGATAATGATACTAAATTCAAAATTTCAGTAATTGGCCAATCAGATGGCTTGAACATTAAAAAAATCTACATTTAAGTTTTCAGATTCCTTATTGATGATGATATCTGATAAATTAGATTATTAACATGCAAAATTTAAGCTGATTTTGAATATGAATTATATTTGTTTTTAAATAGCTAACTCTGGAGCAGCCGCTGGTGGAATATTATTTTTCGTATCTTATATACCATATTTCTTCCTCACATCAAGATATCAAAATATGTCATGGACTGCAAAGATAGCTGCCTGTTTAGATTTTAATACTGCTATGGCTCTTGGTGGTCAAGTTATTGGTATGTTTGAAGGAACAGGTCAGTAGATTTTATTTCTTTCATTTATATCATATATTTAAGCCAAGGGAAAAGGTATTATGCCAGGCTCAGAACCTGTTCACCTGTTATAGTATAATGTTGATCCTGTTTCTATGTCTGATAGTAATGTTTTCTAGGGACTGGTGTACAATGGAGTAATATTGCTGATGAAGCATCAGTTGATGATGATTTTACACTGTTAAATTCAATAGTAATGTTTTCTAGGTACTGGTGTACAATGGAGTAATATTGCTGATGGAGCATCAGTTGATGATGATTTTACACTATTAAATGTATTAGTAATGCTACTAGTTGATTCAGTATTATATGGTATAGTAACATGGTATATAGAAGCGGTATTTCCAGGAGATTATGGTGTACCACAACGCTGGTATTTCCCTGTAACAGTGAGTTATTTTAGTTCTTATCTGTATTGGTTAAAATGGCTATGAAAGAATTCATTGAGATTCAACATTTGTTTTCATACCTTAAAAATTGATTTATTTATTTCATATGGCATGTGAGTAATAGAATGTCATTTTTTTATCCTTATTATTATTCAATGAGTTTATCATGAAATTCTGTATCTTGGAAATACTTTGGTGAATCAATTTCATTTTCCATGAAAAAAATGCTTATATCTGAATCCTTGCTTTGAATGAAGATTTTATATTTTATGAGAATTTGTGTATGTATATTAATGTAGTAATTAAAATTATAATGATTATTGTAGGCCTCATATTGGTGTGGTAATCAACTCACAGAAGCTTCAGTAGATGATAAATCATTAAGTATCGGACAAATACCAGAGTTCTTTGAAAATGATCCAGTTGGCATTAAACCAGGAATTCAGATCAGAAATCTTAGAAAGGTAACTGTCATGAGAAATATAGAGTCTTTTCTGTTGTCTTTTTTAAGATTTCTTAATCACAGTAAGCTACATGTAAAAACATGTAAATAATGATGTTTGTTTGGTTTATTTATTATCAGGTATTTGGTAAAGATGAAAAAAAGAATGTAGCAGTAGCAGGAATGACATTAGATATGTATGAAGGTCAAATAACAGCTCTATTAGGACATAATGGTGCTGGTAAAACTACTACCATGTCCATGTTAACAGGTACTATATACATGTTCTTGATGCAATAGATGTCATGATGTCTCACAAGGGTTTTTGGGTCGAACATGTTTCAGTAAATAATAATAACATGAGCTCTTATACAAATAGATCATTGTGCTGAACTGTACAATATTTAGAGAGAGTTTCAATTAATTTGTTTATCATTTTTGTTAAAGTTTAGTTTGTTTAAAGTTTGGATGAAGGCTTAAACAGACTATAGACAGTAGATATTTTTCTGATTGCAGATTTAAATTGAAATTGATGATTTTTCTTTGAAATGTATCTCTGGTTATTTGAAATTTTTAAAAGAATTCCAATTGCACTTTAACTGTCATCTATTGATAGATATTGTTCTAATTGCAGGATTTATGCCATCATCATCAGGAACAGCTCTAGTTAATGGTTATGATATAAGAACAGATATATCTAATGTTAGAAGTAGTCTTGGTCTCTGTCCACAACATGATATATTATTTGATAATTTAACAGTAGAAGAACATATGGTATTTTTTGCCAAGGTAAAACTAAATTTTGAGGGTATCTATTATTGAGATTTATGGCAATCTTTTTTTTTCAAGTTTCAAGTTCAATCACAGCATAGGTCAAGATAACACCTTCGGATTTTTCAACCAGGTTTCCACGTCAGGTCAGAGGAGCTGACATGGAAAAAGCGTTGAGTCGTTTGGATCGGACAATATACCTGTATGCTACAGGCTGTGCATGTTAAATACCCCTCAACATTGGAAATTGAAAAAAGAGTAGGCTAATACTGCTGTCATGGCAAAATTTCTGTATGCCTGTCTTCAATAGCCCACATGGTGCAGAAAAACTCCATTCACTCTAGCTGTTTCAGATGTACATAATGTATGATGGTTGATAGATTTTTATCAGTAAATGGAGAAGTTAATGTACAGTTCCTTTGTTATTTCAGTTGAAGGGAGTTGATTCAGTCAATGTCAAACAAGAAGTAGATGATATGCTTAAATCAGTTGGTTTAGAACCCAAGCGTAAATCACTCTCAGGTGAACTGTCTGGTGGAATGAAGAGAAAATTGTCTGTTGGTATTGCTCTGATTGGTGGATCAAAGGTATCACTATTTCTTTCACTTGTAATATTTCCATTCTGATGTACAAAAACCACTTTCCAAAAGCATCAATTTTCAAAAAAATATCTGATGTATACAGTTGATGTGATGTATTGAAAGAGTGTCTAGTTTTTTTTCTGAGAGGACAGTGAACCAAGGCCTCTTGTACAAGAAAATATTAAGATAAAAGTTTCTGCTGGCCTGGAAACATTTCCCAAATGGCTTTGCTGTGTTTATCTTCATTAGCCGGAAACTAGAGCAGAAGATTTGAACGCCAACTCCATTTCATTTTCAATTGTGTACTATAATGCAAATTGCATTTCTATCAGCAAAAATTGTAAATAAAAAGAGCAATTCAGTTCTAAAATTGTAGCTTATAGTGAATTAATGATTTTAGAAAGGAAAAAGTGTTTACCAAATTTTTATGCAGATAAAAACTTGACTGCTTCTTTTTATTTCACAGATTGTAATCCTTGATGAACCATCATCTGGTATGGATCCTGATGCTAGAAGAAGTATATGGAGTGTATTACAGAAAAACCGTGCTGGAAGAACTATTATACTTACTACACATTTTATGGATGAAGCTGATCTACTCGGTGATAGAATAGCTATAATGGCTGATGGTGTTATTAAATGTTGTGGCAGCTCTTTGTTTTTGAAGAAAAAATATGGTATGGTTCTTTTTTCAACTTTTTTTTTCATTTGCAATATCATCTCAGAAACAACCTTTAGAAAGAGATACAGATCAAATGGTTTGAGTCAAGTTCTGTACAACAGCTTGTGCATGTTGAAGATCCCTTGAGAGTTGGAAATCGAAAAAGAGTAGGCTCATGTTGCTGTCATAGAAATTGTCCTCATTGCATACCATATAGGGTTATCCGTGGTCATTAGGTCAAGGTGCAGAAAAGTAGGACGAAAAAACATCATGTCATTCATTTACTTTGTCAGCAATTTTCCTTTCATTTACTTGCATTATGGGTAATTTTATATTGTCTAGGTGCTGGTTATCATATGGTGGTAGTGAAACAGGCTAAATGTAATGTCAGTAAACTAACAGAGGTAGTTAAAAGATTTGTTCCGACAGCAACCATTGAAAGCAATGTTGGTGCTGAACTGTCCTATATATTACCTCAAGAAAGTTCCTCAAGTTTTGAAGCATTGTTTACTGAACTACAAGAGAAAATGAATGAACTAGCTATATCCAGTTTTGGAGCTTCTGTTACAACTATGGAGGAAGTGTTCTTAAAGTAAGTATGACTGTTCTCATAAGACTTGTTACCATCAACAGTCCTGTTTGCTATTTGGTCTTTTGAAATTGCCAATTATGTGCCACAGGGGTCCCTCAGAATCAATGAAATCATAAATTTGCCGTAAATTGTGGTAAACCTTAAGATATATGTGCCACTTCACCCAGTTATAGAAGTCTCATAAGTTTAATATATATGTTTACAGGGTTGGTGAAGGAAGTAGTAACATGGATCGTTTACAAGCCAAGAGTACAGCAGCTGCTGCAGCTTCAAGTAACTCTAATACTTTCTCAGATTCTGGTGTTATTATAGATTTAACTACTAATGGTTCATTAAATAATCGACAACATTTAGGTAAATATATAAATTTGTATTGGGGGAGAGTTATAGCAACCAATGGAATTCTGATAATATCTGTTTAAAGGACCTCTAAATTTCACTGAATGATGCGTGCCTTAACCCTGAATGTAAATGTAAAATATAACATCATATACCCTGAACTCCAAGTAATAAAAGTAAAAGTGTATGACGTTAATGTTGTGTGACGTCACTTAGTAACGGCCAGTTTACCAATTGCTCAGGTATATATTGCTAAGTGTATGCCATAAACTGGCTGATAGCGCTGATAGGGTTAATGTGAAGGAACATAACTCTATGTAAGTCTGGCTTAGATAATAGCAATTGTTATTGTATCTACATTAGACTGCTCTTGTTTTTATTTTGTATCAAGTGTGTATTGATGCTTGTCTCTTTGTTGAATGATTTTCAGATTTTGGTATAAAAGTACAGAAGAATACTGGTATAAGATTATATTTACAGCAATTCTCGGCCATGTTTCTGAAGAGAGTTCTCCATACTGTAAGAAATAAAAAAGTGGCTGTTGCTCAACTAGGATTACCACTATTCTTTACCATTGTGACTTTAATTGTCCTCAAAACATTCCCAGGACCAACAGATGCACCAGCTTTAACTCTAAACATTGAAGAGTTCGGACGAAACTTCTTACCATTCAGTACATCACAAGGTGATCATGAATATGTGGATGATATTGCAACTTTCTATGGGAATTCATTAAATAAAAGTGAAAATGTTCTGACCTATATCAATAGATTGAAAGAGTATCAGAACAACTCAGATATTGTGAAATATTTAGCTGACAGAGCCAAAGAAGGCATCGGAAATTACAATTTGAGATACATCATTGCAGCAGAATTCTCTGAAGACAATACACTGGGAAATATTACAAGTTTTTTTAATAATCAGGCATACCACAGTCCCGCAGTTACTCTAGCTAGCATGATGAATTCTGTGTTAAAATGGGCGACTAATTCTAGTAAACATAGTTTAACTGTTGTCAACCATCCTCTACCTCGAACAGATTTAAACAAAATTGATGAACAAGCTAACCAAAATTTAGCTGGTTTTCAGTTGGCATTCAATATTTTATTTGGAATGTCATTTCTATCAAGTAGTTTTATTCTGTTTTTAATAAAAGAACGTTCTGTGAAAGCGAAACATGTACAGTTTGTCAGTGGAGTTCATGCAGTCAATTTCTGGATTGCCACATTTTGTTGGGATCTTATCAACTATCTTATACCATGTATTTTGTTATTGATAACGTTTGCTGGATTCGATACCAAGCCGTATATAGTTGATGGTCATTGGTTAGATATATTTTTTCTATTTTTGATGTATGGTTGGGCTATGTTACCACTGATGTATTTAATGTCCTTCCTGTTTAAAGTACCAGCTACTGGCTATGTTTGGGTGACTATGATCAATATATTATCAGGTATGTTTTTAACTATGCTCAAATGGCACGATTTGAAATGAACGTGATGATGGATCTACAGTATTTTGTTTTCTGGACCTACCTGTTCCTTGGACGTGATGACAGCATGATATGGGCCAGACAGTCTATGTCACTTTTTATGGATTTCGCTCCAATCCACTTTTGAATCAATAGTTTTTGTGAATATTAACCAAGACAAGATAAATTTAGCATAACTTTTGATATCTTTACAAAGCTGAACCATTAAAGAATCCATCAAGATATTGCCTGATATATTACAACGGCCAGTCGAGGATATGCTTTGCCCTTCTTTGTACAACTCCATAAGTTCAGCCTACCATGGAAATGTACAGATTAACAAGGCTTTCTGTGTTTATTACTTCAGGGTTTATATCATATTAATTATAATCATAATTTGATAATATCTTTTAATGTTTTCAGGAGTAGCATGTGTTATGGTAGTAGCTATATTAGAAATACCACAGTTAGATTTACTAGATGTATCATTAACATTAGAATGGATATTTCTTGTTATCATACCACATTTCTGTCTTGGACAAGGTTTAGAGGATTATTATAATAACTATGAAATGTTAACTCAATGTAAACCATTACAAACATTTTGTAAAATAGCTCCAGAGTTTCCCAATCCTTGCTGTAAACGTAAGTTTTTGAAACTTTTTCGTCAATTCAGACTTATTTCAAAATAGTGAATTACCAATTCTCCTTGTGACCAATTTTTTGTGCCATTTATTTGCCTGTGACCAATGAATTTTGACCAGTTTTTGTCATGACCATGTTACTGCACCATGATCAGAATGATCACTTCGTATCACTTTTAAGAATTAAAATCCAACATCAGGAACTTGTGCAATTAAATAAAAAACAGTTGTTTAGACCATGAACTTGACATTCTCCAATTCATATATGACAAGAAATGACAGAATGTAGAGAAGATAGAATATGTTTCAATTAAATACAGAGAACATGATATCAGATTTTATATTTGAAAAGGCTAAGGATAGCAAATGTTAAAGAGACTATCTTTAAATGTAACATATCTTGAGTAAATTTGTTTTTTTTTATTTCATCTAGCAAATTATATTTTGATTTTTGTTTACATTGCAGCTGTAACTGGGTATTGTGGTGCTAATACAACATGTTTAGATATTAATGATAACTATCTAGGATGGGAAGCTAATGGTATTGGAAGAATGTTAGTCTTTTTATTTCTACAAGGCATAGTTTACTTTGGTGGTTTATTTCTAATTGAATCCAAAATAGTTCAGACTATATTATATAAATTTAAGAAAGGAAATGGAAGAGAAAGGCCAACATATTTACGTCAAATGAGTAATAATGAACATTTAGTACAAGAAGACAGTGATGTAGCTACAGAGCGAGCCAGGATAGCAAACTCATCCTTTAGTACCTCCAACCAATCAGATGTTTTGTTATTAAATGAAATCACCAAATATTATGGTAACCATTTAGCTGTAGACCATATAAGTGTGGGTATACCTCAAGGAGAATGTTTTGGTCTATTGGGTGTTAATGGTGCAGGAAAAACGACCACATTTAAAATGCTGACTGGTGATGAAGAAGTGTCAGCTGGTAATGCCTTCCTGGAAGGATTTAGTGTTAAATCTGACATTCATGATGTAAGTTGTTATACAATCTTAGTATTGAAGCAAGCAATATACATTGTATCTAAAGAATGAATTTGATCCGTAACATATATGGGTTCTCCTTTTTCGACCTCTCCCTCAGGCATTTTCTAGATATGCACCTGAATTTGATCATGTTTGTGTGATTTTATAATATATGTGTATGCCATTTGATATAACTATACTGAATGCCAATAAATCTTTTTTGATGTAGTATAATGTTATTTCTTGTAATTGATTGATTTTGTTTTTAGATTCAACAAAGACTAGGTTATTGTCCTCAGTTTGATGCTCTGATAGATCAGTTAACAGGTAGAGAAACATTGATGTTATTTGCTAGATTACGTGGTGTACAAGAGTTTCAGATTAAACCTATGGTAAAGAATGTATTAGAGGCGTTGTTATTGAATGATCATGCTGATAAATTAACTATGGCATACAGGTATAGCTTTCATTTTATTAATAAGCGCTTGTTTGGTCTAGAAAGCCATGTAGTTGACAGAGATGTAAGTGACCATTGAAATCATTTCTGGAACTTTTGGGAAGCTGCATTTCCAATTATTGATAGATCTAAAACATGTACAGTCTTTAGAACATGGGGCTTAGTTGCATTGTGCTATCTTCACTGACAAGTGGAAACCCAATGGAAAAATCTTTAGGTATCAACCCACCTATGTCGGACTTGAACCTTGACCTTCAGTTAAGGGAACAAGCACCTTACTCACCAAGCCAATGATTCACTGTTGTAACAAAATGCTTGATATAAGATATAATAAACAAAATGTAATCTTTACAGTGGTGGTAATAAACGTAAATTAAGTACAGCTATAGCTCTGATTGGTTCACCACCTATTATATTTCTGGATGAACCTACTACTGGTATGGATCCTGTAGCTAGAAGACTATTATGGGATACATTAGTAGATGTACGTGATAGTGGTAGAACTCTAGTCCTAACATCACATAGGTAAGTAAAGTGTCCGTCTAAAGATATTTGTGATCAGGAGGAATGGATAACGAGAAGTCCTCTATAATTTGGGTTGTTCAAAGTCGAATTGTCTGCTATCACATGATAAAAAAATTGTTACATCAATCAGTTCTCTTGCAAATGGTCCTGTCCAAATTTGACCAATAGAATTGGGTGAAATATTAAAAAAAATAGTTCACTCTTGTTGGATTAGGTACAGTTTATTTGCATCTGTTTAAAGTTCCTAAACCTTTGTAACTTAACTGTAGAAATCCCATGAAAAGATTGGTTTATTTCCTGGGTAAGACAAAACATGTTTATCTTTGGTGTAAAACATCTACTGGTAACACAATTTTTTCTTTGAAATTTATCAAAAAGTTTTTTGTCTTGAGGGTATCCAAATATTTTTAAGCATGAGACTTGAATCATAGATGCAATTGATTTTTGTTTTCTTATGTTTGCAGTATGGAGGAATGTGAAGCCTTGTGTACAAGATTAGCAATAATGGTGAATGGGGAATTTAAATGTTTAGGGAGTCCGCAACATTTGAAAAATAAATTTGGTGAAGGCTATACAGTGTTAGCTAAGATTGCTTTCCCATCATCTGGACAACAACCAGATCCAGAACCATTGATGAGCTATATTGAACAGCAGTTTCCTGGTAGTGTACTTAAAGATGTACATCAATGTCTGATACATTACCATATAACTGATACTAACTTCACCTGGGGACAAGTGTTTGGTGTGATGGAAAAGGCCAAAGAAAAATATAATATTGAGGACTACTCTGTCAGTCAGACAACCCTAGATCAAGTATTTATTAACTTTGCTCGAGCTCAACTGCCACCTAAAATAGTCCACACTAGTTGTTTGAAATCGTGTTTTAGTTGTTTTAATGGCTCACAAGTTGAACACAATCAATTTGAATATGAAAGACATCATGATAACGTGTAAGTTTTGTTACTCGCACATTTCTTATAATGACCAAATATGTTTGTTCAGTATCTACCAGATCCAAATATTATCGGGATATTTTGCTTTCTCAGATTTTAATGATAAATTGTAACTACCTTTAATATCTTTGAAGATGAAAATCTAAACTCTGCAAATTTTTTGGATTTTGACTGACACTCAATGTTCAACAGATTCTTTCTAAAAATAGAATTTGAGCTGGTCTGTCGGCTCATTTCTAGAATAAAAAAAGCCAAATCTATCTGACCCTGATCTAGGCTCTTGTATCTTCTTTCAAAAGATTTGCAATCCCAAAATAGTGTTTCTGACAGCTGATATTGAGCTCTAGCCCAAAGGCAAGAAAAATTTATTGACTATATTTCTTTTAACATAATTTCAATCATGGATGACAACATTTTTTCTTTACCACCATCTTAATGTAAAGATTTATTTGTAGCAAAGGAAAGGATACAGTCAATCCTGTTATCCTGTCATGTTATGACAATTCTTATATGGCTGATGCTTAACAACCCATGCCAAGCCTTTTAAAAATAAACTTGCATTATCAGGATCAAACAGTCCCATTACAATTCCTTGGTCCCATGACAAGAATTAAGGGTATCATTTTGTGACATTGACAACACATACAGTATTTTGGTCATATGTTAAAGGGATATATCAGCCAGTTTTATTTTGTGATTTCTAGCCAATGTAATGTTTGATTAATTAATCCCATTTATTGATTATATAAGAGTATGTTGTGATCAAAAGTGGATGTCATTTTTAAGCATCCTAACTACATCAATCTGTGATTTTTTTAATAAGTTTTTGAATTTCTAATCTTTGTATTCAACTGGAATATATAGCCCTCAATGTTTTTCATTTCATTTTTCTAAGCCAAATGTATTTAAAATATTGTATATATTATTATGTATTAAAGTGTATTGTATATACATGTACCATGACCCTATATTTCTATTTTCTTGATTTTTCTTCTAAATCACTTATTTGCTTGAATTTCAGATTAACAAAATTAGAACTACTCAGCTACTAACACTCTCTTTCACCATATATCCAACTCTACTTTATATTTCTATCAAAATATTCTGATCAGCCTTCATCTGCAACTATTAAATCAATTAACTAATTTATATATGAAGCATAAGGATATACTATTTCATTTATTTACAGAAATGGAAAAAGTATATCCATATATCTAGTGCCGCTTTACTTATGCCTAATTCTATTTGTTTTATAAACTGTAACTTTAGATTTGTTTAGAATTATCTCAGGATATTTTTGTTAGTTTGAGGATTATCTACTTAAAATATATGTGTATTGCAATAATTTTAATTTTATTATATTAATTTAAAATATGCTTAACTTCCATCTAGATTCTTTACAAATGATCATAGAGCAAATAACATTGTTGCAATAAATACTAGATGTATTGAAAGCAATTCTTGGTGCACATATTCATAATATTGTTTATTAACAAATATTTATTTATTGTCTCAATCTCAATCTTTATTGAATTCCACGACATAAATATTCAGGGCCAAACTTTCCTTCTTTCCAAAGTATATTATATTTGGAAAAATGTTTTTAAGATTGTATATGTACAGTAAAGCACTGGTATTTATGCTTATCTGGTACTGATTTCAAAATGTAATCCATTTTACAAATGTAAAAAATATAAGTCTGTCTTCAAATCAAATGGACTGTTTGAGTTTGTATGTATGTTTTTATAAATTCATGCAGATGTGCCTCCATATCTTGGCTGTGTAAGAGAAGGTTCACTTTCATATTCTAAAATAATATTAGTTCATTTAAGTTTAAGTATTTTTGTATGTCTCGAATGATTTTAGATAAAGAACATTCCAATTTCTAAAATAACCACAATTTCCAATAATAATCAATTGATTTTTTTTATTTGAAACTCAATAATGTACATAATTGTCTTTCTTTCAATGATGAATTTAGTTCTTGTGATGATCAATATTGTATGATGTATCTTATGTCTTTTATAAGATTAGTAATAAATTTTTTAAACTAGAATTATTTTCAACCATTCCTTCAATATGGAAGTCTATGACAACTATTATAACTAAGTTGTTATTTCCATCCTTGATATGAAGTCAAACATGTTCATCACAATTTTGACAATATTGCAAAAGTATTTGGTCCTGTTTTCCTTGCTGCAAAAGTTTTTAATTTAAACACAACCGTGATGTGGTATTGGCAAACAAAAAGCCTCATTTACCATATTATCAGTTGTTTGCATCTTCTTGGTTCATTTTCATCAGTCATCTTCATTTTGGACCTTAATTCAATCAAACTTAAAATCTTCCATAAGGCACATGTTTCTTTCACAGAAAATCTTTGTCTATTGTGATGAACTTATCAACTATTTTCTGAATGGAGGACATAGATGATGAATTAAGACATCTTTGTGCAAAAGTTTGATTGTCATCTGTTGTTTGAGTTATCTGGGGATCAATTGGTATACAACCTGAAATAAATAATAGTATCATGTTAATGGTGGACATGAGTGTATTAGAGCTGACACAGTACATAAGTCAATCAATAATACAATGTGATATAACATACCAGTACCAAGTTATCATTCTCTATACTCACTCATGTATCAATACCATAACATAGCACTATCATTGAGTTATGTACCATGAATCCCAGTACACAAACACATGTGTATCTAAATTATTGTGAACTTACCAAGAAATGGCACACCTGACTGTTTAGCTAAGGCTTCTCCACCACCTTTAGAAAATATATTTGTACATTCCTGAAACAGATACATATAAAACTATGGGTTTTTCTTTACTCTTCTCTTTCAATTACAATTACTCTTGAAGTCCAATAACATTAATAGAACATTAGGGAATCACAGAAGCAACATACATAAAACTCTGGATGGTATTGGTATTGTGTTCTGTCTCTGCCTTTGAAACTCATATTCAATGCAATCTGTACTTACTGAACAATTTGGGCAAACAAAACCACTCATATTTTCTATAATACCAATGACAGGTATGTGTGTCTTTTTACAGAATGTTAATTCTCTTCTAACATCACCTACTGATACTGCCTACAAATTTAAACAATGGTAAAATTGAAACAAAATGTATTTTTTCAATGTGAATTTAAAGACTCAGTTTAAGATCAACAGTCCAAGGCTGAAAACTTTTTGAACTTTTTGAACACTACAAAGGATATACTTCCTCATGTGTAAAAACCAATGTTTCGCAAATATGTTGTTTGGATTTCGGGTTTCGTTTCGCAGTTCCGATCGTGAGTACTAGGTTTATTTATTGCATGCACCTCTGTGATTATCAGAAATAGATTTGACAAGTTTCACACCTATTTTGGAGAGACCACATAGCTAATAATGATTATGAGATATTTTTGTTTCAGCAGTAACAAGTTATGTATTATATATAAGGATAATATAAAGTAAAGTTTTTATTTCAACTCAGTAAAATTTTGACCATGGCATATTATCATTATAATAAAGTAAGCCTTGTTTCACATGTCCAATAATTATCATTTATTGTGTAATAACATGGTGACAAGGTGAAAATCTAATATGACAGGTGTATAGTGATAAGTAATGTCTTGATTTACAAGCTGTTTCTAATTATATGATAGTATGAAAAACAAAGCAAACAGTAACATACTTATACTATACACCAAAACCTGCTCCCTAACATAGGAATAAATGTGGTTTATAGTTCTGGAAATGAATGATCTTTCCTAGATAAGATGTTGTTTTGCTTTATGACAATGCAATTTGTAAAAAAGTAGGATATGAGAACATCTAAGATATGACAAAGGTGTTATATATGTAATTGTATTAATTATTAAAAGGAATGTATTTCAACATTCTTTTTCAGCAAAAATGGTACTTAATGGTACGAATTAACTGAAAACTAGATCTAGCTATTATTTTTCCCATTGAGCTGATTACCTGTGGTGTAGTAACTAATATAGCACCATCTGGATTATATTGTTTTAAATTCTCCATGACTGTAATATGTTCATCAGATGTTCCTGGTGGAGTGTCAATTATTAAATAATCTAAATCTTTCCAATAAACATCATTTAGAAACTGTTTAATCATTGCTAAAAAAAAAAAAAATTATTTTCAAAATATTCTTGAGATGTTTCCTGCAAGTCTTCTTGCTTCAATAAATTTGAACATCAAATCCGGTATAATGAATGTTGATGTAGAAATTGGAAATAACTATGAACTGTAACTTATCACGCTTTTTTCTTGAAAAATTTGAAACTGGGCAAACTATCTTTCAAGGGATTTCACTATATAATTTCACAAATTAGGGACAGTGACTTTGATTTTGGTCCATTTTTTTCTGGAATAAAGTAACTACAGAAATCAGAACAGTGCGAATAGAACTAAAAGACTCCGTAAGATATTTAAAAAAAGGTATGAACAAGATATATTTTACCTGTCTTCTTTGGTCCTCTCCAGACAACAGCATCATTTTGATCTTCTAGTAAAAATGAAATAGACATAACACCCAATGTTTGCTCTTTATCCACATATACTGGTAACCATCTGATAAAAAATTATAGTCATTTATTTTTCTACATGTATGTACAACAGCTTTGTCTCATAGGGGCTCCAAAATGGCTGAGTAGTCATGACATTAGTCAGCATTAGTCTTCATGAATGTGCCTGATCTTATGGCAAATATTCACAGTATAAATTGGTAAATGATCTATAATAACATGAAATTTACTATTTGCGTAAAATTTTGATAAGGGGGTAGATATTAAAAGTAGGAGACTGTGGATCCATACCCTTCAGAACACTGGTGTATATCCTGATTTGATAGATTAAACATCTTTGGTATGCTTGGGCCACATAAATCTATATCTAGTATTCCAACCTAAAATCAAAATAAATTGATGTCAAAGGTGATATAATTTCTGCGTGTTAAAGCTTAGAGGGAAAGAAAGCACCAAAATAAAAAATGGGTTAAAATTCTTTCTTTCCAATTTACTATATTGTTAACTCTGCAAAACTTAGTTCTTCCATTAGCGGGAGTTATCTTATTTAATATAATTCATTTGAATGTAACTTTTTTAAAAAGGGTCTTATTTTTAAAATAATTTCACAATGACAATCAGCTTTAACTATGATATGACTATTTCCTAACAGTAATAAGCTTAGTGAATGAAAATACTGCATTTTGAAATATGTAGCCTGCCATTTCAGACCATAGATACCTCAATATGTTACAGACTTATTATGTAGTAATAAGTTAATTTCTTGATGCTAACAATATTTCAGTATACCTTTTTTCCAGCTGCTTTTAATCCTAAAGTCAGTTGAGTAGCAACAGTACTCTTTCCCACACCTCCTTTACCTGACAATATCAATATAACATGACGTACAGTCGATAAATGACCTGAAAAATATATACTTTATATCTTGTATTTCTATTCAAAACAAACTTTCTAAATGGTTAGATTTAGCCTTGTAGAGGATCTTAAATATTGCTAATAATAAATTGTCTGACTGAATTATACTAAGCTGACTAAACCAGAAAATATTTCTCTTTAAGTCATTTATTTAAAGGTCTTCTAAGGGTTATAATCAGTGTGATTAACCAGCAATGGGATACAAAAATTAGTGAAAAACTTGTAAAGAAATAAGCTTTGTCATACAAAGGTCGTCTGCTACGAATGCCTGTGTGCAGTCTGTCTTGTGAGAAAATTTGTCACTTTTACACATGTTTACAGTCAATACAAAGATTTGACAACAGGCTGCCTTTAAGGAAACAGTATTAAATAATTTGTGATTAGCTATCAGAAAGGGTTAAACAACAGTGGTATTGCCAAAAACATAATTATAACAATATGAAAATAAAAAATACCACTGGGGGCAGACATCTTGAAATTAAGTCTCGTTATCTGCGTGAAAAAGCGAGATTAACAACAGGTGCCCGATAAAAATAAATAAAAGCTTGGTTGTGTCGAGGCAAAGATCTTTGTCGAAATGGATATTTTACCCGAATACAATGTGTATTTTTATGGCATAGCTATTGTTTTGACGATATGTGCACTTGTGGTCAGTACAAGATATACAATGAAGAATATTTTAAAACATTGGGGAAAGGGAACTGTAAAATCTGAGAATGCAGACGATAAATCTGCCGGTAATCCCAGGGAAAGTGGTGGTGGAGATGATGACGGTGGATCTGAAGGCGACGATGAAGCTGATGAAGATGAAGCTGCACGACGTAAGATATTTATTGTTTTTCTTATTTACATCAACGAGCTAAGAGCCAAAGAAAAGCAAAATCGTTTGAGACATTGTTAAGCTTGTACGATAGGAGAATCCTTGTAATTCAACTCCTAGAATCCAAGACCAAGAACAAGATGCCAAGCCTGCTCTGATAAACTTCTAAAGCCTATTTATTATTCAGATCTACACCATGAATTCCAATACACCAACATGGTGAAACTGTAAGGTTTGTATCAACCACTTTTGTAAGTATTGTAGATCTAACAAATTAAGCTATTTTCTATTTCAGATGGTGATAGGTTAGCAAGATTGTCTGAAAAGTTAGGAGATGTTGATCCTATGGAATATTGTGAACACATACAGGGTGAAGTGAAACGTGTTAAACAAAAAGTTGCCACAAAACAAATCCAAGAATCAATGAGTCAAGAACAACTGGAGGAAGAAAGAGAAGTTCAACAACAACAGCTAGAACAAATATTTGCCTTGATGAAGGAACAAGAAGAAAAATTTGGAGTGCAAAATGTGACTGACATAAAGGAACAAATGAAACTCTATGCTTAAATCAACAACTTGAAATAGAATATCAAATTTTATGTCCATGGTCACATGAAGATTATTTATTTTAAGATGTTTTTACAATGATGTCATGTCAGCATTACAAACATAGAGTGAATCTAGTCAAGGAAAGAATATCATTACACAAAAATATGACTGTATAATTTTGGAAAACAGATTTTGTTAAGTTGAGCAACAAGGATATCTTTACATATTTGAGAATGAGTCAAAACATAGACAAGAGCAGTCTGTTTAGCTTTGAAGTACAATAAATAGTAATTGAATCTATTCAAGCTCAACCTGTAAAAAGTGTACATGAACATTTAACACTTTGACTACCGATACCTGAATTACAAATTGGACTGTTTGGGTTTATGTTTTCAAAACCTGGAAATGCACAAATATTTGAGAATAAGTTTTATTTTATAATCGGATAATACTTAAAAATGATCAAGATATGGAAAACCGGTTATCATGTTTTCAATAACAGGCCCACAATTATTAGAATTTTATTTTCCAATGATTATGTATCAAATAGTTTTAATTAAATATCTATTTTAATTAAGCATACTAATTGAATGAGATTTCTTCATTATCTGGGACCATGATTGTTGCATATAATGTGTTTTGTTTATTTTAAAGGGATTGTAAAGAGGTTTTCGGGTGACACTGATAGCATCAATTTGCACCATTCCAATTTTCAATCAGACATCTGTAATTCCTGCAATTCCTCTAAAACTAAGTGCTGGTGGCACTAATCATGAAGGGCCTTCTGTGATGTATTTTCGACTATTGACGTCATCAAACACTCAGTTTTAGTGGAATTGCAGGAACCACAGATGTCTGATTGAAAATTGGAATGATGCAAATTGATGCTATCAATTGATCCTATACACTTTAAAATTTTAGAAAACCTCTTTACAATCTCTTTTACATTACAACCAATAACAGTAAAACATAAATCTTTCAGAGGCTATCTGAGAGGAAGGTTTTAGAGAGTCAATGATGTGTCCCTTCCATCCAAATTATATCTCCAACATGACATGATATGCATTTATAAGTTATTTAACATGTAAATATGTTTTAAGTTTATATTGTTAGGTGTTATTGCTTAAGCTTTTATTCCTCTTTTTATTGTGAAATAAATTTTTCTATTTTAGTTTTTATGCATGACACATTCCTTTACTTGTGAAAAACAAAACAAAACAGCAGATGAAACATAATGAAATTATTTTTCAAACCAAATGCCTGATTTGTAAATACATCAGCAGAACTGTAGCATTGCCCAAAATGCAATCTTTAGTTTTCTTATTTTGAATTGAAAAATAACATGAATATGAACACATTGCATTCAATTGTATGATTTAATATGCTGTCTTTAGACTTACATTGCCTTTCTGTACCAACCTTTATAAAATTTGCTATCAAGTAATTTTAATGACTTCAAATCAGATTCTTTTATATGATTTCTCTAGGCATAGGGCCTACTCATCAGACTCATCATTGAGATTTGTTTTACCATTTATTTTACACATGTTTATGTATTAGATTTAAAATAGATAAATTTTGTTTGGGATTATTTTTTTTAATAGAATTTAGCAGGAATGAAAAGTGAAATGATTATGAGTTTGTGATGAGTTGCATTTTCTTGGTTTAAACGCAATGATAAGAATAAATGTACTTATATAACTTCTGTCTTTTCAATCAAGTCTAATAAGAAGATCAGAATGACTAGTCTTTTATCTTATTGTTTATTGTTTATAATGTCTAATTAGAAGAAGCATTATTAATATGTAATCAATAAATCCATGCACAACTAATGAGTTAACAATCAACATCTATTCTTCTTGATACCATTAGATTTTTGTAAGACATAAGTCAATCATGTTTTTCTGATACTCAGTGACACAGTGTTGTGTGTGATGTGTTATTTTCAGATACAATTAACCATGATTATGTCAAAAAGATATGCCTTTATGTATTAAATATCAAATTTGACAATTAGAGCATTGAAACATCATTTAGTTATTATGTTAGTATTTTCATATTTATTCCATAAACCTATTTAATTTATTTATTAATTGTTATTATGATGTTGTTTTGTATTAAAAATAAAGTTCAAATTTGTTTTTTTTGTAGTTTTATTACTGTATTACATAGAGTTTATATCCATAAAGATGATCTACCTTTATATAGCTACTAAGGGAAAACAGTACATTATGTACATGCTATAAAATTTATAAAACAGTAATTTAACCCTTTTTACTATTCCCTATTCGATTGTACTTTAAGGATTAAGGAGATTAGTGGATTGAGATCTGTTCATTGTTTGCTATTTTTCTATCCTATTAAATACTCTCAACATAGCTTACTCAAAAGTTGCCACTATTTTGTCCCACACCCACACATTTTGGTCCCACACCCATACATTTTGTCCCACACATAATCATTTTTCACAGCTTAGATTTGAATGAACAGGCATATGATAAATTTTCTCGATATTTTGCTGGTAATGAACTAAGGTTAGGCAGTTAAAATTCACATTTAACAGTGGTCTGATTCAGTGATTGTCTTGATGACTTACCCTCCCATGTAAACACAAAAGAAAGATGGCTACCCCCTTAGAAAGGAATTTTGAAGTGTGTCAAATCAAAAGATAATAGTTACATAAATGTGAAAATCTGTGAAAATATAACTAGGTCATAAACTGTTATGTTATGTGTTGATGAAAATTCTCAAGTAAGGAGAGTTGTTCTCAGTTTTATGGATGGGTCTTTGAATGAGAGCAAAGCATTGTTGGTGTTGAAGTCGATAATGATGGTTGCATAACAAACTGACACAGGTCTACAATCAATATGATTGGTTACCTTTAAAAAAAGAGGATTGTGTATATAATAAGCTATATATAATTTTTTGTCACACCCAATACAACCATTACTTAGCCATGATATCATTCAGTCTAGGGGTGCGATATTAAGTCTTAGTAGATCAATTTTCTTGATACTGCTTACTGGACCTAGCGTTAGACCTATTATATTTTATTGGTAAAAATAAGCAATGAATAAGTGGGAAGGCCTAGTTCTACATAACCTAAAACAAGTTACCCTAGTATAGTTAAAATGGCACCCATGGCCATTAACAAACAAATTCAAATTTTTGTGGCCACTACTTCAAATTTTTTTCATTTATTCTGATCGTTTAAGTCCGTGAAGAATTTCAATCCACTGAACTTATCCATCTTCAATCGAGATAACTTGAAGCTTATCAGCAGTTATAAACCATCATTTTGACATTTTTTCCAGAAAGTTACAGAAGAAGATTTCTAATAACATACACCTAGAATTTTAGAAATGGCTGATCCAAGAGAAAATATGGATACTTCATCTGATAATCAGAAGGGAAAGGGGGTAGGGATTCAGATCATTCCACTGCCAGAAAAAGAAAAAGAGGCGCCAAAACAACAGAATGAAGAGACATTTAATATTGATACCAACCTAATTCCAAAATCTTCTCTAAAAGAGACAGAAATGGTTGAACTAGCTGGGCTAGGATTGAATATTTTCAATCAAGATGAATTTGAACAAGGTATGTTGCTTATGAACATGATGCATGGCGGCTGAAACTGAAAGGAAAAAATAGAAAGCAAACAACTATTTTTACAAGAATAAGCATTGTACCCATTTACAGTTGTAACTGTAATAATGAGCAAAGATGACGTATTCAAGTTCCTCATAATTTCATAAGCTGACCAAGATTAGAACCCTTGACCACAATTTGTTTGACACGACCTAGCAAATGACTTCATTCAAACACTGTTACTCGCACTTCGTTCAGTAACTTGGGCAACTAAATGGATAATAATTTCTTTACATTGATGTTTGATTTGTTTCTTAGGTGTAATGAATCAAGTGGGTCAGGCACTGGCTGAGGAAGAAGAAAAGAGGATAAGAAAAATTATAGAAAAGGAATTAAAAGGAGTCGAAGATGATATTAAGTAGGTTTTAGTTTTATTTCTTGAGGACTAAGAATGGATCAAGATCAACTGTCTTCATATTTTTTCCAAATATGCTTTATCACATAAGGCTCTGTGCTTCGTTTTAGTGGAATTGCAGGAACCACAGACATGATTGAAAATTGGAATGGTGCAAATTGATACTATTAGTGTCCCCGATACACATATACAATCTAGAAAACCTCTTTACAATTTCTTAAATAATAGTGTATACTAATCAAAAGCCACTGGATGCATATAGTTGAAATAGTTTTGCTAAACCTAGACTTAATCTATAATAGATAATATGTTATTTGGTATTTCTTTCAGGCAGACAAAAGCAGACTTGGTCCATATTGTGAAAGTTGTAGCACAGTGGAGCAGAAGTGATCAATCAAGTCCTGAAGTGAAAAGAAGATTGGAGATTGTTAATAAATCTAAAGATGTTAAAGTAAGCATTCAGAAGAAGGTTTATATAACTAAAAGCTCTTAATATGCTTATGCTTAAGATGTCAAACACGAGCACTATGTAAGAAAACCAAATAAATTCAAAAATAATAAAATTCTATTTTTAGTTGAAACAAATGAAGAAGCTTGTATCTCGTAAGAAAGTTTTAGAAGCCAAACTATTAGGGGTTGATATAGATAGCAGTGATGAAGGTTTGTATTTTTTTTTTGGTAGAGTAAGTGTCAATTTAACTCTGCTTACCAAGAGATATGTATATATATGCATTTAAAAAAGGCAGTTTTTGATATCTTTGTAATAAAAATTGCTTCAATCGAATCATACACCTCTCTCCTATCCTCTGCTGCATTAAATCCAAATATTCTTTACAAAAATAAATATTATTTCTTTAAAGATGATGATGGTATAGGTCAGATATTGAAGAAAGAAGGAGGTGGATTTAGTGAAACAGAACGTGAAAGAATGATAAGAGTTGGAGAAATGACTCCATTTGGTACAATCATATCTGACTCTTCATCAAAACAAGCAAAACCAAGTACATCTAAAGAGGAAGAACCAGCGGAAGATAAGAAGGAAAAATTGAGGAAGTATCTCTTATCAAAATTAGAACAGAAGAAAGGACTTAAAAGACAGTCTGAGACTGCTAGTGAAGAAACATCACCAGAAAAGAAGTCTAAAGCAGACGCTTTAGATAACTCTGAAAGTGCTGAAGTTATTCAAGCACGTCTCGAGAGACGAAGGAAGATTTTACCTATTGGAGTGCAACCAGAAGATGTTGAAGAAGAGGAAGAAGGTGAAATTGTAGATGATGATGGTGATGAGGATTATGTACCACATGATAATGATCTTGTTGATTCTGATGAAGGTCAGCCATTTTTTTTTCTAACATTTTTGTTAGATTTTCCTCATACTAAAAAAAAACATTATTTAAGTGGTCATGCATGAGGTTATCAGTCAGCACACCAACTGCAGAGTGGCATCAAGGTGTTCAGGATGAGCATGTCTACCAGTAATTTGCTGTAGGACAACTCCAAATAAATTCAAAATTTACGTCAAAACTTTTTTTCCTATAGAAATCGCTACTGGAAGTAAAGGATCTGATAAAACCATATCAAAGTCGAAAAATATTTCTGCCAAAGTATCTTCTACTAAAATGAAAGTAAAGAAACCAGTTGTATTTCGTAAAACCAAAGATGATGGGGATGAAAAGTACTTTCACAAAAGAATAAGGTAAGTAATGTCTTATGAAGTATGCCTGAAATTGTTGGCTTTATATGTATCACGTACTCTAACATATCTAGTACATTACTAATTGTGTTTCCTTTTGATACATTACAACATCTGATTTAAAAGATATCAAATAAGATGAGTACTGTGTATATTTTTAGAGAGTTCCAAAAAGAAGAATTGGCCAAACAGAAAGAAGAAGGGGAAAGTGAAGAAGATGAAGAATTTGATGGTGGATTAGTTGTTCCTGGTAGAATTTGGTCCAAATTATTTAAGTAAGTTTCCTGATATCTAAATGCTTATTACTCACAATTTCCAAATACATTAAAGAAAACGTTTTTCACTGCTAAAAAGTGCTCAATATATTAATGGTAGAGACAAATTAAAAACTATTCAAAATAGAATCTTGAGTGTTTCATACTGTGCTGTCTGTCGAACAGCGGGCGGTGCCACTTTATTTTAACAAATTAAAAAATTTGCCCAAATATATGCGTCAGAATGCATCAAATCAGTTTAATTTTTCTAGAAAATTTTGGAAGCACCCTTTCTGAGGCCAGAGGCCTGCGACTATGACGCCTCCACAGATTTCCGCCCCTATTGAGTTGTTGCTCTTGAGTGACAACTTGAGTGATGTAATACAGTGTATTATTTGTTCTGCATCTGAATACAGTATATCTTTATACACATTGCAAGTTATTCAGAATAAATTGTATAATTTATTGTGAAGTTTGTTTGTAAATGACTTTGAATATATTTTGCCAGGTATCAGCGTACTGGTGTTCGCTGGCTATGGGAATTACATGGACAAGAAGCTGGTGGTATAGTAGGTGATGAAATGGGTCTTGGTAAAACTATTCAGATGATTGCATTTTTAGCATCTTTACGGCAAAGCAAATTGAGGAACAAAAATTTTAGGTATGCATACTGTTTTATAGATAGAAATTTGAAACAACCCTTACCTTTCAACTTGTTTTTTGCATGAAAATCCATTCAAATGGGTCCTTGTATCATCGCCATGATTTCGAGTAATTGCTTTTTTGAAGCGTTATTTGCAAGGAAACACTGAAAGTGTATTTAGTTCCTCTTTACTATGATTTTGATATAGTTTTTTTTTGTTTTTTTTTGCAGACATACTGGTCTAGGTCCATGTATAGTTGTTTGTCCAACTACTGTCATGCATCAATGGGTAAAAGAATTTCATAAATGGTGGCCTCCATTTCGTGTAGCTATATTACATTCTTCTGGTTCTCATGTTGGGAAAGATGTAAGTGCTTTGTTTTCTTAATGGATACTAATTTCCTAAGCTGTAGCTTATACCTAAAACAGACACAAATTGTGATGCTAAACCTTTCACAGTTGAATATTTTACGCTACAAATTAAGATTGGATTCTTGTAAATATAAAAAATTTAAATACTTTAAGGTTAAAGATACCAAAATTGTTGCCAGATATTGTTAGTTTCCAATCAGACAGACAGTTTCCAATCAAGCAAAACAGCCCTTTTGTCAGCTCTCCATTCAATCTTCCAATCAATAATCATGGACAGCAACAGTATCTACTAACACAATTTGCTAACAATTTGTAATTAAGATAGCATATGATTTAAAAAGTTAATCTACGTACAACTATCTGAAAATGTAATTCCTTTAAGATAAAAAAGTTCATGTGTATTTATAATTTGATATTTTAGGGTGATTTAGTAAGAAGTATAGTCAAAGATAATGGTGTATTAGTAACTTCCTATAATACATTAGTTGGTAGTCAGGACACAGTACTACATTATAACTGGCATTATGTTATATTAGATGAAGGTCATAAGATTAGAAATCCTGATGCTCAAGCTACACTAGCATGTAAACAGGTAATGATGAACATATTTATATCAATGCTTATATAAGGATAAAACCATCTATGGAGGATAAAGCAAAATTTTGAAATCAATAACATTCAGTAGTTAATACATTATGGAGATTATGACCTGATAGTGTAATACGATCTTAAAGAGAGAACCATGTACATATGACATAGCCTTAAGCACAAATGGTGTATGCATCAACTAAGACTCTCTGTATAAGCTAGTGAAATATTGATAAAATATATATGGAAAAGGCAGATATTTTTATCGTACAGTTTCACAAAATTTTATAATTGAGTTATATTTTTGTTATACTCTAATTTCAGTTCCGTACAGCTCATCGTATTATCTTATCTGGTTCACCAATACAGAATAATTTAAAAGAGTTATGGTCCTTGTTTGATTTTATATTTCCTGGTAAACTAGGAACATTACCAGATTTTATGCAGCATTTCTCAGTGCCTATTGTACAAGGTGGTTATTCTAATGCTACACAAGTTCAGGTAGGCTATTTATAATAGTATTTATATCAATAAAAATCATGTTTTCATTCATTGGCCAAGACTTGAACAGTTATGTTGGAGGTATAGTGATAGTTTACAAATATTTCATTTGAAACTATGGCAAGTTATATATAGTTCAATGGCTTAAGCCATCAAGGCATGAACAACTGTGCAGTAGATTTGGTTGATCATCTGTGTTCAAATTCAAAATACAATGCCGTTTGTGGAGTAATGGAGTCTGTTTCTACTAAATCAATGGTTACTAGAGAATAGATTGTTAAAGTTTATAATAATTGTTATTTCAGGTAGAAACAGCCTATAGATGTGCCTCTATATTACGTGATACCATCAATCCATTTTTATTACGACGTATGAAAGCTGATGTTAAAGCTAATTTAGATTTGCCTGAGAAAAATGAACAGGTAGTTTCTTAATTCCTTCATTAATCTTTACAATACCATTAAATACAGACTAGAATAATGAGGAAAGATGACTTATTCAAGTCACCAGATTTTCACAAGCTGGCCAAGAATAGAACCCATGACCACCATTAGCTAAATACATTATTTTGATTGATATCTTACAGGTATTATTTTGTCGACTAACTGATGAACAACATGATGTTTATAAACAATATTTATCATCTAGAGAATGTGAAAATATTTTAGCTGGAAAATATCAGGTAAGCTTCTAACATGATAGTCAATTCACGTTTTGCATCATTATGTCAAAACCAGTCATAATGAAAATGCTTTATCTATGTGACCAAATACATGCTATGCTTTATCACATAAGACCCTATGCGATAAGTGAGGTCATCAAACACTTGGTTTTAGTGGAATTGCAGGAACCACAAATGTCTGATTAAAAATTGGAATGTTGCAAATTGATGATATCAGTATCCCTATACACAAACAATTTCAATTTAGAAAACCTCTTTACAATCTCTTTAAGATTCACCACATAGTTTCTTCATAAAATGGCAGAAAGTAAGAAAAAAACTTTCTATAGATTTTTTATTTGAAGAAATCACGTGAAGGGAATTAAAGGAAACAACAAACTAAAATTCCTGAATTTTGTGTTATTGTTAGATATTTGCTGGTTTAATAACATTACGTAAGATTTGTAACCATCCTGATATCTCTACTGGTGGACCTAGAGTATTTGATGTTAGAGAATATGATCAAGATGAAACATTAAATTATGGTTATTATAAAAGATCAGGTAAAATGATAGTGGTGGAAGCTTTATTAAGATTATGGAAACAACAAGGTCATAAAGTTCTTCTTTTTTCACAAAGTACAAAGGTAGGATATTATTTTTCATAGACAAATACTATTTTAGATATATGATTGGTGGGCAATTTTCTAGCAAGTTGCATTTCTGAGTGAGTAACCTGTGTATATCTTATGCAACACCACACCTGTGCAAGTGCTTTCGACAGTCAGCCAGGTGTGAGCTCTATCCCCCTAAAACCAAAATTTATGAGTTGCGACATATTATTGAGGCAGCCATTGGGGTTATTTCAAACATATGTGATATAACGACAGGAAAGTAGAGAACATCGTCAAAATTGAAATCAAAGATGATTAACTTGGTATTTCCCATCATTTCTTTTTCATTTGGAACCTAAGGTTTGTTGGATATAGTTTACATGCAATTAAATAAGATTTATTTTTGTAGATGTTGGATATATTAGAATCATTTGTACAGAAACATGATTATCATTATTTACGTATGGATGGTACAACAACAGTAGCTGGTAGACAGCCATTAATTACTAAATTTAATCAGGTAAATATATAGATTTAAGAATCTATATCTCTCTCAGACTTGTAATAGCAAATTTCAATATTGATATTTTTGGGTAAAACTGTAGAAATTCTAAAAAGTTTTAGAATTTTCACCAAATAATTCTATATTCTATACCAGTGGTTCCCAACCTTTTTTCAGCCTTAACACCCCTGGAGCAATCACGTGGATCTTTTACACCCCAATAAGTTGTTTCATCCACATTTCCAGCATGTGATGATGTGAGGTGCACTCTAAATTCAAAATATATACATCTCCTACACCAGTTGGCAACACACTAGTCCCACACCCGCAGGCGGTGAAAACACCACAGGTTTGGAACTGGGGTTCTATAGCATAGCTATTCTAAAACTCTGGCTGTCTTCAAAATGAATCCATATTCCTTGAAATGTCAATCTCTTATATTAAAAAGAATTTATTTTATTTTGTAGGATAAATCTATATTTGTATTTCTGTTAACTACACGAGTTGGAGGTTTAGGTGTTAATTTAACAGGAGCTAATAGAGTAGTTATATTTGATCCTGACTGGAATCCTAGTACTGATATGCAGGCTAGAGAACGGGCCTGGCGTATTGGTCAACAGAAACAAGTTACTATATATAGACTACTGACGTCTGGTACTATAGAAGAGAAGATATATCATAGGTAATTGTTACTTATTTTTATAGACAATTGCAATAACAACAATGCCTTCATGGATTTTCTGAATGTCATTAGTATAGTAAGTCTGCTGCTATCAAAAAAAGTTATGGCAGTCTTACCTATCCTTATGATTCAGGACAAAATAGATCCTAAATGAGCATTTGGTAAGTTATAATTATTTGTGAAACGCTACATATTTTATACTTACATATGCAACTCATGCATAATATTTTTTTGACCCTAGGCTATAGATCTATATATGTAATAAAGATGTTTTTTTATTTTGTAGGCAAATATTCAAACAGTTTTTATCAAATCGTGTCCTCAAAGATCCAAAACAAAGACGTTTATTTAAAAGTAACGATATATATGAACTGTTTACATTAGGATCAAAAGACAATGATGAGGGAACAGAAACTAGTGCCATCTTTGCTGGTACAGGGTCTGATGTGAAATTAAAGAAAAATTCAAAAAATATTTTTGATGAAATGAAGGAAGAGAAGAAGGAAAAGGAAATGGAAGTTGCTAGTACACTTGAAGATGATGAAGTAGCTAGAATGCGTGAATTTGCCCGGAAATTAAGTCAACAAATGGAACAAAATAAACTCAAAAAAAGTGAATCTGCCTCAAATTCTCTGCCATCTAAATCAAATGAACCATCTACCTCTAAATCTAAAATAACTTATGCAGATTATAAGAAAATGAAGCTTCAAAAAGAAGGCAGCAGTAACGAATCAAAACTCAAGAAGGAAATTTCAGAACCATCATCATCATCTAATCATACTTCTCATAAAAAACATAAAAAGAAGAAGAGGGATGCAAGTATGTATGTTTTTTTCAAATTCAGCTGTCCGTGTTATTTTTCAGAATAAAACTTTGATGTCCAGTTCTTGTACAATCAAACAAAAATATATCATATCACTTTTCCGATGACCTGGTCTCCAACAATGTAAACAAAATGTATCATATAAGATTAATATGGTGTGATTTTCATTTTTATCTCATGTTCAGCTGTTGTCATTTTAGCAGCTGTAACCATAGCAAAATCTAAATCTACTTTAATTTCATATGTTTTATTAATAATTATTGCAGAATTTGAAGGAGAAAGAATCCCCAATCTTGTTAAACATCGTAAATTTAAACGTGGTAGTGATGGTGAAAATGATGATGATGATAATGAAAAACCAGCATCTAAACAAGATGATTATGTCTTACATACCCTGTTTCAAAAGGGTGGTATACATAGCGCTATGAAACATGATAAAATTATGGAATGTGGTAGACCAGACTATGCTATAGTAGAAGCAGAAGCTGAGAAGGTAGCTAAACAAGCAGTGGCAGCTTTAAGAAAATCTCGTGCAAATTGCGCGTCTGCTTTAGCTGGTGTACCCACTTGGACTGGACAAAATGGTGGAAGAAAGTAAGTCAGTTTCTACTTTTTTTGAAGCCTAAATATCTTGTGCTTATCAAGATTCAAATTATTCAGTTGCACATTGGTTTCACATGGTTTTGGAATGGTTATTACATAGTTACATTGTTATTGCCATTTACAAAGTGGCCTGTTTGTGTTTTGTCTTTAAAATGTCCCCAGATGTATAAAGTTCTAATAATATTGGTGTTTATTATTATAGGCCAAGATTTGGTAAGAAAAAGAGTACATTAGTATTAAATGGTAATAGTACTGTAACAAGTTCAACTACTAGCACGGTTGATAAAAAGGTTTGTATATTTGAAATATGTTAAGAATTTGGTTGTATAGTGTCACAGTTTTTTTTTTTTTTATGTTTCACAAGTAATAACACGTGTGCGAAATTGCGAAAGTCTTGATTTTTTTTCCATTTTTCTCATGAAATTTTTATGAAACATTGCACATGTTTTTAAGTAAATCAGGTGATTCTATTATTTGTATAGGCCTGTGTTAAGAACATGGACAGGGATGTTATTTCCAGCATCCTGATTTCTGTTCATCTCATTCCTTAATTTAAGAAAACCCAAAAATTCTAAAAAATATTGGTCAAATTTTACTATATTTGGAAAAAAAGAATAGGAGCAATGCTGTGTCCCCGTTACATACAAACACTAGAGGTATCTCACTTAAATCCCTTTATCATAAGCAATATGTAAATAATATAAAATATCTTTTTGTATTTTAGGATGAAAATGATAAACATTTTGATGGATCTGTATCAGGCTATGTTGCTACTAATAGTACACCAATGTCATCAGATGAACTGTTATCACGTATGAGAAATCGTCAGGTACCATCAGGTGCTTCTGTATCAGATCCAGCTGTTGAAAGTTTATCCGAAAAGGTGGATACAGCTCATACTGATCTCCTAACAGACATAAGAAATTATGTGGCATTTCAGGCTCGAAATGATGGTCAAGCCATGACTCAGGAATTACTGGATCATTTTGGAACCAGACTTCCACCCAGTGATACTGCCAAATTTAAAGCTATGTTGAAACAATTGTGTAATTTTGATAAAAGCTCTGGTATTGGTATTTGGCAGCTGAAAGAAGAGTTTAGATAAGGTTGTGTGTTATGGGTGTGTAAGAAAGCTGGTCTTTCATGGGTTTTTCAACTCAGGTTTCAATAAATTTATATTGAACAATAAGAATGGTTTTTTTCTTGACAGATTTTGATAAAGCCCTTTTCAACACATTTTCATCAGTGTAGAAGAAGCTGAAATTTCTGCCCGTTAATGCTATGCATGATACAATGTCATACATTTCTGCCTCTGTTAATGCTATGAATTATACATTGTCATACATTTCTGCCTCTGTTAATGCTATGAATTATACAATGTCATACATTTCTGCCCCTGTTAATGCTATGAATTATACAAAGTCATGCATTTCTGCCTCTGTTAATGCTATGAATTGTACAATGTCATACATTTCTGCCTCTGTTAATGCTATGAATTGTACAATGTCATACATTTCTGCCCCTGTAAATGCTATGAATTATACAATGTCATACATTTCTGCCTCTGTTAATGCTATGAATTGTACAATGTCATACATTTCTGCCCCTGTTAATGCTATGAATTAAACAATGTCATACATTTCTACCCCTGTTAATGCTATGAATTATATTCTTGCTTGCCAGAAAACCAATAAGATTAGAGAAATTTGTAAAACAAATTTATACCATAAAAATACAATTGTGTAAAATGAACATTTAGCACGTTTTTTGATTCGATGACAAACAAAACAATAAAAAATACATCCACTGTGAAAGTCCACTCTTTCAAAACATATCATATGAACCAACTCTCGCCATATGTTGAAATAGCATTTTCTTAGCTAATCAAATTGTGCACAAAATACCTACAAGTTAATGAACACATATATAAAATATGGAATAAAAAATAGTTCATTATGTTAAAATTTCTAACAAATAAATAGCCACCTATATACATACATATCATTTTTTCTGAATGTCATTAAATAATCTCATAAAACATAGCTATAATATACTATCTTAAATCAATGTTTGTTTGATTTTAAGCACATTTCTTAAAGCAAATAATTCAAGGCACTTTGATTAAAGGAAAAGTTTGGCTTGTACAGATATATTTTTTTTATTGATGTAGATTATTTATTAATGGTATTCATTTACAGCTCAATAGTGAAAAATTAGAAAAAATACTCAAGAACCCAGCTCTGCACTATATAGGTCTCTTCTGGCTAGCAATTTCATCTAGTGGTGCTGTTGATGAAAATATTAATTAAATGGAAGCAAATTTTAACGTACTATAGAGCTATATATGATTACATTATATGAACATATCTTATGTAGAAAATTATCAGTAGCAGTCAAACTTTTCCTTTAAAAACAGGAAAAGAATGCATTGGTCTGGATATGAAATACATGTTATATATTACATCAGAAAGGTCATGGATAGCTATTAAGTACTAGGCATTTAACTTTGATATTTCTTAAAAATCACGTCTATTTTATTGAGGAGAATTTGATATTGATAAGGGTTGGTCCCGTAAACATGGTTACGAAAAAAAAAACAAAAATCTCTTAGGTAGGTGGACAACTTCTGTAGCTTACACATGTATGATGTTATGCAAGTTATCATATTATACTTATAATTTATAAGAATTTTGTAAGAAACTTTGAATGGAATAAGTATCGTCAAGTTTCCGTTGGTTTCAAAAGATCATCATATCAACCAATATTACTATCAACAAATGGTATAAGACAATCAAAACACAATTTGACGTCAAATTAATATCAAGAAACATAACATATAACTGGTGGAATATTTACTAAACAAAATTATTAAAGTGCTCTGTACCCCAAATCAATATTAAGAAATGATATTCAGGTGAAAAAAATATGTGTGGTAAATCAATTCATATGGATTTATGAAATGTAAGAAAATAATTGGATTTCCGAGAAATGGATAAAACATTTAGGTTGACAAACATCTACATATTTTGATTTTCATACTTAAAGCAGTTTAAAAAAATAATTTCTTCTTTCATATTATATATAACAACCTTAGGAATTTGAGTAAACTATCATAGAGAAGATGTCATCTTCGCAGTTGTTTTAATTTAGCATCAATTGATGAAAGTTCAGACTTTGGATCTGGAGATCTGGAACTCCAGGAAGAAGTTCGACACCATTCCACTTGAGGACAACTCTTGCTAACTCCTTCAATAGAACAAGTTTTCTGAACTTGCCAGAACAAAGGAGAGAGCTCATCAATCCACTTTTCCAGATCTCTTCCCACTCGCCTAGCGTTAGTCAAAGCTTCCATTTCTAAGCCTTCATCCTTTGGCACTTTAAGAACACTTCTTAATTCTGAAAAATCTTTTTTAGCATAGAAACCCTCAGGTCCGCGATGTGCCTGATGTATATCACTAGTGGTTATAACTTTAGCCTGATAAAACTGCAGGGGAAAAATAAGAAACTTAGTTTCAGCAACGAGTTTTAAATTTTCCATAAGTCGGACTGTCCAAACTCCAGGCCGTAATGGATTTTTTAATGAAGGATTTTGGTTTCCTATATGAGAGGCTGCTGGAATTTTAACATCATATGAGGCAGCTATCACATTAGTTGGATCAATCCATGCAATAGATATCACAAATTCATCACCTGGTCCCCAAACATGGCGTAAAACAGGTTCATCATATGGACCTATTAAAGATGCATAGTTTCGAAATATCAGTTCCTTTGGATCAAAATTCGTACCCACATCTAGAGTTGAGAGTCTGCCTATATTACCTATAGGATTTAACACAGAATAATGCGTCTTTGGATGCATATGAGTTTCCATATTTAAAGTTTTTCCTGTGCGGATATCTTCAACTTGATAGAGCACCAATAAGCCATGGAAATGATCAGATTCATAAAATAAATTAGCTTCTAGTACTTTGATTGGTCTATATTGACAACTAGGGGACTGTTCAGATAATATTCTTAATCCTAATCTCATCAGGGAATAATATCCAGTTAAATACGCATCTTTGGTTTTAGTATTTTTATCTAAATAATGGTGTTCATTTTGCCAGTAGTTTGATAAAGCTGTCATATCTGTAAAAAAAATTTTGGAAAAAAAATAATGCATTAAATGAAATATGCTTAAAGGAAAGTTTGACTTGTGCCTTTTATCTAATATACTTATCAAACTAAAGAAAATTTCTATGAATGGATACTATTTACATATCTACATGTAGAAAAAATAAATGTACATGTGAAACTTGCTTTTAATAAGATCATTTCAAGGTATTGGAATATTTGGCTGAAATAAACAATTTAAGATTTCAAGCAAGATGATATGTTGTGGCCCTTGCTAATTAAGTTTCATTAGGCTATGACTGTAAACACATTTGAAAGTTTAAATCAAATGCCTGGGTCTCTTGATTTAAGATATTTTTTAACATTTACCTTGTTTAAAATCTCCAAATAAATATACATCTAAACTATTTATTATTTCTTGATTGACAACAGCTTCAAATTTACGTGCAAAAAATACAGCTTTATCTTCATAATTCTGAAATCATACAAAACTCATACATTTATCTTCTATTCTTGTTCAAGTTTAAAAATCAACACACTGTGAAATAATACAATTTGATAATTTTGAATGTAATGGGATTGAAAAGAGATTTGAGATTATGACTTAAGTTAAAGGGATTGTAAAGAATTTTGTATGTGTATCAGGGACACTGATTGCATCAATTTTCACCTTTCCAATTTTCAATTAGACGTCAGTGGTTCCGGTTCCTTCAATTCCACTAAAACTTAGTGTTTGATGATGTCACTGAATGCGAAGGGCTATCAAAGGTTAATGAGGAAACAGTGAATACAGTATACACTTACCATTAATTTATCTAAATCTGAAGTTTTAAAATCATTAGGTGAACAACCACACCAATCAACAATATGTTTATATTGACATTTACAACCCTGTTTACGTCTCCAATTAGTCAAATGTAAATTATTATCTATTATTTTATCACAGAAACGACTATTCTGACTATATGTATGGAAGAATGACTGAAATAAAGAAAAGAAAATATAAAGGTTAATAGTCTAAAATTCATTTCACATGAAACATATTCATGCAGAAATGAAACTGGCTTAATGAAGCACAATGGTAGAGAAATTACCAATGCCTGAAAGTAATGAAGGCTATCCTATATCAACAATATATTCTTAAGACTGGAGAAAGAGAAAAAAGAAGATTAAATCAAATATCAAGAGGGTTTTCCAGTCTATAATTAATGCATGAAATATTCCCACTAATCACCCACAAAAGTCTAGCACATAGTTACAGTCTCAGACAGAGGGAAGGATAGTTATACATTTGCAACTTTCTTACCTCCACAGGTAGAAGAGTATATTGAAATGAACCTTTCAACCCTTTCAATAGCTCATCATTTTCTAATATAACAAACTCAGCTAATTCTCTATAAATACCAATCCAATCACTACCACCATCTATTCTTATACCAGTAGGCAGTTTCCTGGGTCCTAAACGCCACAAATGGTTGTCACATTCATAAAATGTCTGTTCTAAACCTTGTTTTTGGATAAACCTGACAAAGAACAAATGAATAATTGTTAGGTAAGGGAAAGAGATGATTTCTGATAAAAAATAAATTTGCATTTCTCTCATAGTAATTCTTTAAATAAGTATTTACCTGTGGGTATCCGAGCCATGAGATTTCAGGAAATTATTTCCTTTATATTTGGTAAGAAAGGCAACTAAATCATTAATTGGTCTGAAATTATTCAAAATAAATCATATTGTAAAATAGTCAAGTGATTCTTGTTCAAACACTAATGCTCTTATTTGCGGCTACTCTATTGATATTGAAAAGAGTTTTGACAAGAGAACGCTGTTCTGCACTCCCTGTTTTGCCGAAAGTACATATTGTACAAACACATAGATACAGAATGGCTGCTATGCAAAATATAAACAAACAATGAATTGCCTGAATTGGTCGAGTATCTTCTTTTGTCTAATTTAGGCTACTTAAGATTTCTAAACTAGCACTACAGTAAGAAGAAGTCAACAAGAACATGCTAACTTAGTGTCCATTTTTTGTAACATGATAAATGATGTGGAATTCAGTTCATAAGCATTTCATGTTTAGATCCACATTTGCTGATTTATGATGAGTTTGTTAATGATTACAGAATCTCTCAGAATTCTGCTCAGTATCTTATGAAGCTTGTAAAAGTAGACCTACTTACTTGATAGGGTAATCACTTTCACTAAGATTAATATAATAATCCCATTTCCATGACGATATAGCTAAAAGTTCAGACATAAATTGAAGATGTGCCCGTAATAAACTAGCTCCACCCCATATTGTAGAAAATCTTGTTCTGGCTAATTTAATATTTGATAGTCTGCTCTCTAAGGGGAGTAACTCTCGAAACAGATATTCTTCTCTCTAAAAGGAAAAAATATACTTTTAGTACCGCTCTGACAATGAATAGACATACCTTTTAAGAAATTTATGGTTTGTAAAAGTTAAATAATATAGTTTAATTCCAAAAAGTCTTGAAACTTAAGTACAGCCTACCTTATCTACATGAATATAATAAAAATGGTCTGGATGATAAATAGCTCGTATTAATCGGATGACTTGACGTATCTGTCTACCATTAAAGGTTAAAACAAAAACAACTTTGACAGCAGCTTTACCAACTAAATAATCTTTACTAGCTAATGTAGCAGCATTCTTTACTTTACCTGTAAAAATAAAATGGAAGTCAAATATATATACAACTCTAATTAGCTCAAAGACATGTTTATTTGAAAATCATTACGTCCAAAAATAAATTACATTTTGTCTTCAAGTGATAGTGACTACCTAATTCATCCCGCCAAAACAGGCATTAAGCCAAGATTGGCATCCACAGATTTGTTTGGCCAGTCAAAATCATTTTTTTCTTACCAGAGGTACCAAGTTGATTTAAAGCTCATAAGCAACACTCAAGGTCATCTGTTACAAATGTTACATTCTTCTTCTCTGCTCTTGGATGGGTGAAGTCAGGTAACACCATGCAGTGTGCAAAAAGAAAAATTGTGCTAGGACAGAGCCATTAGTCTAATCTTAAAAATATACACTTGGAAGTATTACCTGGTAAACCAGTACTAAACACTCTCATTGTTAAATAGCCTCCGCATGATTGAGTTTTATCTCCTGGACAGATACTCTCACACTTGGCTTCATCAACTTGTCCATATTTACCAAACTTATCATCACACCAACATTCTCGACCATACTGTAACCCTGCATACTTTAATCCTACAGATACATATATATTAGATACAATTTAATCAACCCGTCTGCTAGCATTTCAATCATTATTAAATCAAATATTCATTAGGAAACTTTTATTGTGTTAATCTTCTAGACATGCAAATTGATTTCTAAGATTCCACATCTACATCTTTAAAGGGGCAAAATTTCATTATCAAAGACGTCATAAATTATATCTGAGAATATTTCTTAAGAATGCTATTTATATCTATGTATCATCTTGATCAAACTGAATTTTTTACAAAGGGTTAATTAAGCGTTCTAATTGATAATTGAACAGTTCGTCTTAGTTTTAGCGTGCGGCTTTTTAATGGCTCAAAATTATTAGCTGAAACCTTCAGATCTCTACAATTTGGCATTTAAATTTTGCTTAAATACATTTAGTAATTTTCTTACACCTACCTAACGAAGTTAAAAAGCTTACGAAATGTTTTTAAATAATTTTGGTGTTAAAATGTTAACGACCAGATTTTTTTTAGTTAAAACTTTCAGATATGTTGAGGGATACGTTTCTCTTCTTTTGTGTATAGTTTTCAGTAATTTGAGCAAAAAAAATGTTTGGCCTGCAAAAAAGCAGAATGCCCCTTTAAGCTAGATTGTAACGAACATCATAACTCTCAGATTAACTACTCTGATTGGTCAATTTATCAGTGACTGATGCTGCCACGGAAATATCAAGCTGTCAGTCTTAAAACCAGTTATTGTCTGAGATACTTGTGTCATTCTTAAATTTAACCAATTAGTGTTCATGTAATACATGAAGTATATAAAAATTATTAAAACTTGTAGCTTTTAACTCAATCACTTTTAATGAAATATTTGGGTTATCTAAAATCTAATTTGACAATCTTGAATGGAATCTTAAAACAAACAAAATGGGCTTCAACTTTTATGACAGAAGAGGGTTTTGCATGTTCACTATCTGAAGCTCCAAGAAATTCAACACAAAATGGCATACCAAAATGGACCTCTTACAGAAGGAGTACGCACTATCCACAGTGAAATAAATTTTGAGTTTTTATTCCCTTCGAAAATACTGTGAATCAATGTTGAGGATCCGCCATTTTGTCTTCCTTCCTTGCCACATTATGTTTAAAAGATTGTTTCGTTTTTAAAATAAACTTTATGTACTATTAAATTACTGCCAAGCAAGGATGTGTATGTGCACTTTCTGGGCTGATTCAAAACACAAACACAATTTTCATAGTTATAAGTAGGGCCTACTACTGAACACAATATGGTTTCACTTTCAACTACTATCTTATCTACTGTACATAAATCTTACATGAACTGCCTGTGTTTCTGTTTTCAATCAACTCTGGATGTTGACAATTATCTTTGACAGTACAACACAATAATTATACCATAAGCTGAAGATTTGAATAGATTTTTACAAAAAAACATTTGATAATTTGAAATTTAACCTACCTCCTTTTGTACAATGTTCTATGCAGGCTTGTGGTGAGTTCTGGAAAAGTTCTTTAAAATGTTTTGGCATATCACGGTCAGATTTATTATCAGCAAAACACCCAAAGTACTTTCCTGTTGAATTGGCTGAAATACAGAATACAATATGTACAGAAAGAAACATACTGGGATTTAAAATGATGACAACTTGGCCAAACTCTTGGCATTGAATTTTTAGGGATTTTCCAAACCCTTTTACAGCTAGAAAGATGACTTGTTTAAGTTCACCAGATTTTCACACGCTGGTTGAGATTACAACTCACAACCACTTGACCGTTTGACTTAATCAGGCAAATGACACCATGCAAAGATTTCAATGCTCTAACCAACTGTGCTACAGTCTGTCCCCAAAGTGGCTGTAAAGGCAAATTTACAGTCTGAAAACATTACTTTTGATATTCACCTAAATGATAAAATATAACTATATCAGTCATAACAGAGTTATGTTCCCTGTTTATATATATATATATAAATATCTCAAGAGTAAAAATTTTTAATGGAAAGTTTTTCACTGACAAAAGTAGTTTCCAGGAGATTTTCTTAAAAAATCAGTCTGATATGCATCAGACCTAATATGACTCTGGTCAAATAAATGTTTAATTTGTATATAAATGTATGTGTCAAATGAAATTTCATACATCAATTTTCATAATAAATATCACATCTGGTTTTAATAAAATATATTTGCCAATCATAACTTTTTAATAAAATATATCAGAATACAAGGTTTATGGAGAAAAATAAAAAGATTAAAAGGTATAGAATGCACCTGACTAGAGTGTAAATTATATATTTCTAACCACCTGAGAAGAACAATTTGAAATCAAAGCAATTCAGGTAGAATATCTGATCAAATTACTATGGTTATACTGATAATATCTAATTACTGTTTATAATCATGCTAATTAGACTGATTGAGTTCAATTGATGGATTTTTTTATTTCTTTGATGTATGATAACAATGATATAGTTTCTAGAAGATGGTTAAGTTCCTATTTTACCCTAGTCAAAATAAGGGGAGCCATTAGTAGCATATATAGGCTTAGCCTATAATTGAAATTATACCAAACTTTTGTTCTGTTTTTCATTAGCATTTGATTTTTAATATGGCCACTTCAGTTAGGGTCTAAAGACAGGTCTCTTAAACATTTGTCAAAATAACCTTTTGACCCAACCTTGTTCAACCAATCAACTTTCTGGCACTACCATTTAGTGAGAGAGTGAAGGAATTTGATTGGTTGGGCTTTATGTAATAATGATAATTCATTGAATAAGAGAATTTAGAAGGATTTTCAGGCTCGTATTCTCTTCCTTCTTCTTCCCTCAGGAAATTTAGATTGATTAAATAGGTATGATTCGTCATTTATAACTCCTTATATATGACACTTGCTTCTTAATATCCAGAGTTCAATCAGGCATAAGTTGAGATGATTCCTTCAGATTTTTCAACTAGGTTTCCCATTTATGATTCAAGTTAGAGGGTCTGACATTGTAAAAAAACATAGGTCCTGTGAGATACAAGAACAGTTGGGAATCAAAAAAGGTAAGTAACATGTATAATGATCAAATGCATCATGGGTTTTAACTCATCTGACTCAGATAGCCAAGAGAAATCAAGATCAAGCATATAGAATTACTGGTACTAATAATCTGGTACTGAATTAATCTTTATTAAAAAACACTAGGAGAGATTTTTATCTTATTGATCTTTATTTAGATAAAAAAAAATCCTTTGGTATCGTATTGATATTTGGCATTAAGCCAATTAGTGAGATATCAAAATAAACGGAATCCATTCTTATTACTATTTGAATAGAGTCTATAGACAATGGTATATAAATAGTTTATTTCTTGTCAATGATCTTATGATTTTTCAACTAGACACATGTTCATGATATATTATTTATATTTTCATTAAACTACCGAGTCAGAAAGCAGCCATTTACACAACAAACCTCATTACAAACCAATATAAACTGCCATTCACAAATTTGACTGAAATACTTCACAGTTAAACAATGAATAACAAATTGACATTAAGTAACTTTGTTAACATGAAAAAAGTAACTTTTGTCATTTATGAAGATTTGCCTCTGAGCATTTTTGTCAGATATTCATCTTTTTCTTTGAAGAAATTTTTTTTGCTGTTCACTTATTTTTTCCATTATATTATGTTATATTTGCTGAACAAGATAATAGTACAACAGACAAATTCATATAGATAATAAAAATTCATTTCCATCAAAATATAGAATGTAACACAATATTCATGCCAGGGTAATTTAAACATTCAACCAAATAAATGCCCTGTTTGGTGAAAGTTTTAGCGACTATATTAGAAGTAAGATTTGAACAACATATAGAAACGAGGAGCACATATAACAAAACACAAGACAACATTATGGAATATAGCACACTTCTTTAATCTTGCCATTACATCTGATGACTAGACGTGTATATTGTGTTGAAACGTTATGTGCCTAACCTTATTAAAGAAGTGTGTTATATTCGATAATATTGTCTTGTGTTTTGTTAGACTATATAAGAAGAATTCTGGGTTTATCAGACCAATTCTCACAAATTTTTAAGTATGGTTATCATATTTGTTTTGACACTATGGAGTTAAAATTCAACTGAACACCACTGACGGAAGAATTGCATATGATCACGGATGGCAACTATGGTAATCCCAAATAAAAAAGAGGATAGGAAACATCTAGATCTGCATTACAATCTGATTGTGATCCAGTTTACAACATATTATATATTTTAATATTTTATATTTGGACTTCAATAAATCAAGTTTTTGTCTAAAGGTCTTGGTTCACCATTTTCGAAAGTTGATTTAGACCTTGAATAGATATCAATAGTGTTCAGAAGTACCAGCTCTGTAGCAAAATGGCATAAATCTTTCAAAAGTACCCAAAAGTATGAAATATTTTCTTTAGTTAAT